GCGGGGACCCCGCGGCCCGGACCCGCCGCGCCCTCCCCCTGAACCAGCGGGGCCAGCGGGGCCCGGGCCGGGCTGGAGGGCCCCGGCCTGCGCTCAGACACTGCCGGGCAGGATGGGGCCCTTCAGGCTCTGCCTCCCCAGCAGAAACACTGGGCAGAAACAGAAAAAAAATGCTGAGTTTAGAGTACCGAATACAATTTTAGCTGAAAGAGGGTACATTTCGATTGGATATTAGGAAAAAAACTCTCCTCTGAGGATTGCAAGGCCCCGGCACAGGTTCCCCAGAGAAGCCCTGGAAGTGTCCAAGGCCAGGCTGGATGGGGCTTGGAGAAAACTGGTCTATCAGAAAGTGTCCCTATCCATGGGGATGGAGCAAGGTGATCTTTAAGGTCCCTATCAACATAAAGCATTCTGCGATCATTGAAAAAGACTCATGAGGTTTGCCAGCATTTAAGCAGAGGTGTGGCATCACCTGAAACATAACTTTTACAACTTAAAAAATAAGTATGAAGATGGCTCATGACAACTTGGCTAATGGCATTTAGTTCTATTAGTCAAAGTATTTATTTCTAATGTGACATTCTCACTTAATAAATCCTGCTAGAAATTTTTGTGTATTTCCCTGAAAGGATCAGCTCAACTGTACATGGCGTCAGGGAGTGGGGAGGCAGGAAAACTATGGAGTTGGGAATATTCCTGTATGTTGTTTATATAAAAGAGACCAGAATACCAAAGTCAGACTGTAAGCCCTCAGGCTTTAACTTCATGCCTATAATTTAATTTCCCTTCAGCTAGTTAGGGCATTTTAATTTTAATTACCCTCATGGGAAAGTAGACAAAAAACAACTGTTTCTCACTGGAAACTTAGTTTTCCTAGAAAAACATTTCATTGGGACTGATGGGAAGAACTTTCACATATATGGGAGAGAGAACATGAGCTATTTTAAGTGGTAATAAGGATTTCTGTTGGCTTGAATTTCCAGTTGCCTGTCAGTCAGCATCTGCAAGATAAATTTGATTGAAAAGTTTAAAAAGAGATGACAGGATTCATGCATTTAACACCATTTTGCAGTGGGGAGACTCTAATCTAAAACATCTTTTTCTGCAGATGATGTTTACCGTAGGAAAAGATCTGAAAGGCTGTATGAGGCAAGGATGGAGAAAGGGGAATTTTAGCTGAATCTCTTCATGGGGGAGCTCCTGAGTGCTTCAACTGTACATGTGCCAAAGCAGCAGCAGTGCCACGTTGACAGTGGTGGAAGATGCTGGCTCTGCAACATGAACTGCGATCCACACGTTTGTGTAATACACTCAGATGGTTTGGGCAGTTTTGTTCTTCCATATCTGTAATATTTGTATTTAAATGAAGTGAAAAATTCATTCTGTTTGGGCCTCTGCCACTAATTTAATGTTTGCTTAGTGCTTTTAAATAAACTAAACTGAGCAAACAGTCTGGCTGTTGCTTTTGTTAGCTTGGTGAAACACCCCCTTGTGACAAGACCAGTGGGAAAGAAACATTACACAGTGCATCCATCTCAGCATAATAGAAATAGTAATTTTGAGTTAGTTTCTTTTGTACTTACAGGAACTGCTCTGACACCCGATTTGTTTTCTTTGCAGTGTGACACAATTTTAACTGGATAAAGAGAGCCAAGATTTACTGCTCAGCCCACAGTACTTGGAAAGTGACCAGTGTGCTTGGGCTGTGCTGCCCACGTCTGACAGTGGCCAGAGCAATGTGCAGTGTCAGTCCTGGCACCCCTGAGTCCTGGGGTGGAAATCCTGGCCCCAAGGCAGGAGAACAGAGCTGCCTGCTGTGTTCCAGCCGTGTTTGCTCCTGCAGTGACACCGGGAGCGTAGGTGGGGTCGGTGACTGGTGCGGAGGGGTAGGGGTGCAGGCTGATGGTGCAACAAAGAAGCCAATTCTTATAATCAGCCTAAAACCAACCCCGAGGGAGTTCATGCCCTTACAGGTGTTCCTGTGCTGCCTCCTGTGAGCCTTTGTAAGTCTTCGTCAACTGCGGAGACAAGGACAGCTCTGTAGAGGTCAGGGTGTAGGTTCTCCAATTGCAAACTAAGGGAAACCTTCGTGTTGTGCCTTCCAAGGACTTGATCTAGAGTATTAGGGCTACTTGTGTTTTCAAGGGATAAAAACAGACAGAATTAAAGATCTGACTGTGTCACTGCATATTTTGACTGAGCAGAAGTGAATCCCTTGAGGAAAGCCTCTATATCAGAATAACTTTGACTTTAGTTCTGAGGTAGAACCCAAAACTCATGAACAAGCTGCTTTTTGCAATCACAGATCATCACACTGAAATCAACCCTAACCATAGCAGTACATTCAAGAACAAAGCAATAATAAAAAAGCCAGATTTTGAAAACTGCTGAGCTTTAGCTTCATCTGATTTTATTTCTTGAGCTTTTTGAAATTCTCTTGTGCTCTGTTTTCATAAAACGAGTTGTTCAATATATGGAGTTTTTTTCAAGCAAGAGCCCTGTGCCCCAGTTATTTCTCAGGACTCGGGAACCTGATGTGAAAACTTCCTGTGGCTTCCCTTAAGCACTCCTGTAATTGTAGCAGTGTTCCACAAACAGCTGTGAGCCAAGCCCAGTTCTCACTTCAGACCTCTAGCTTGTTTAGCAGTGACTGTTTCCCATTGGCAGCTGAGAGCACCAGGCAGATCTGGAAGATCTCTGGGATGTCTGAAGCAGGTAAACAGAAAGGGAGAGAGGCTGCAGTCACTCACAAGATGTCTGGGTGTTCCGTGTCACTGGTCTTGGTGACTGCTGCAGGAATAAAATCCTCTGGCACCGTACCATTTCAGGCAACACAGATCTGTTATGACACAATATAAAGCTTGACATTTAGAAATCTGAGCTGCAGTCTCCAATCCTGACTGTGTTTGCTAGTGCTGACCCTTTGGTATTTTTAGATTTTACCAGTCTGTCACTAATGCTGGACATCAGAATAGCTGCAACTCCCCATTCCAGAATCCCGGCCTATTCCACAGCTGAGTACACTCGGGGATTTAGTATCAGTTAAAAATACACCCCATCTTCAACAACCAAAGTCTTCATTTGGTTTTGCCATTTATTCCTGCTGACTCCTAATTCTGTGCTCTTTGCCTTCCCCAGTTCTCTCTGACTCTCATATCCCTGTATCACTCCCATCCTCCCACTTCCCCCATCCATCTGCTGTGGCAGAGGAAACGGAGAGGAAGCAAGAGCTCTCCTTTGGCTCGGCACTCATGGAACACCGTGTGGCTGTTCCAGGCTGCTGCAGTGAGCCAGGGTCACAGCTTTCACTTCTAGCCCTGCCAGGCCCCTGCCAGCTCCAGGGCTGAGCACATCCCTTCCTTCAGCAGGGAATTCAGCCGGTGTCCACCTGGAGCAGGGCTCTGCACCGACCAACAGCATTTTCATGTGTTCTGCAACGGCCACAACAGCTTGTGAGACGCAGCAAAGCATTCCTGCTGCAAACTTTCCAAACTCTGGAAGTCGGGGCAAGATGGATACCAAGCATGGAAAAATCCATTTCGGTGAGGCAGCAGCAGTAAAAAGTCATCTGGAGTAAACAGTGATACCTAATGCACAAGCAGTGCTGCTCACCACTCCAGCATTAGAGAGGACAACTCCACCACCAATCCAGAATGATTCTGTGGAAAAAATGGATCTGCTGATCATTCCCCTGCAGCTGTGTGCACAAGGATGCAGCTGTCTGCTGAAAAGCCTGCAGAAGAGCTGGAAGAAGTTATGGTCAAGGAAGGGTGTTTGTACCCAGCCTGCACTCCTCCCTGGCACAGGGCTGCAGCAGTTTTCTCCAAGATTTTCAAAAGCAGCAACAGAAAGTAACAGCCATCTGATGTATTGGGAAATTTTTCTTTGGAGCAAAACTCTTCCTGCCATCAGTGGAGGCATGCTTTCACTTTGGACTTAATACACAGATCCAAACTGTATCTGCACTCTGCTTATGGCCATCTCCAGCTCCTTCAGGGAAAGGGGGAAAAAATATCTTCACAGCACTGGTGAAATGAATGCTGTTCCTGAGGAACTTCCTGAAATCAGTACTGGATGTTGGTGCTTTATACCAAAGATCAGGGTCAAATTAGACTTGCTGGAAAATGCAGTTGACAAAATGAATATAAGGTTTCATTTTATTAATCAAAATTTCATGTGCATGACTGAACCACATCCCATTCCTTACACAATGTTCAGTGCCCAGACATTCTGAAACTTTAATTTTGTGCACTTGCAGCCAAGAGGGAGCTACATACATTTATGGTTGATCTTTAGTATCTCAGACTGAGCAAATAAGATGTGGAGGATGATTAGAATTAGTTTCCTCTGGGCAACTGCAACAGAAGGGCAGAAGTGTTACAAAGCTGGCAGCCTGTGTGAAAGGCAGCATTTATACCCCAGACTTAAAACATGGATGTGTGTTAATTAAATAATGCTATGTTCTGACTATTTAAATAGCTCTCTGTGAATTTTATGCCAGGCACCTTGAGAGATTCCTATCACTTATTTTTTCTCATAGTTCATACAGAAAATTTCTATCCTTAATTCTAACTTAATTGCATAAAAGATGCTTTTTTCATGTTACTCATCTAATTTCCTCTATTAAACAGCTACATGGAAGACAGTCCTGAACCACATTAGTTTCCATATGAAATTAAGGCTTGCTGTTTATTTTCAATCCAATTAATAAAGGGGCATCTGTGACTGACTGAATCTTACAACCTCCACTCAGCTGGTTCCCAATGCTTCACATATTTTTCAAGGTTCACTGTTCATGCTCATTATGGCTCAATTTTCAACACCACTGTTCTTATCACCTACAGGCACATCTCAAAAAAACACAGGACAATAGAAAAAGGATATTTTATCCACACACAAGCACACGTGTACCAAGGACTTGAGAACATCTGGATCAGCAACAGCCAGAATTACTTGAAATAAAATCCTAACAGAAATCTTAATGGAACAGTCAAACCTGGTTAATCCAAAACACTTTGCAAACTATTTTTATTCAAATTAAAAAGACACAGGTAAACAAAGTGATGGTACATACATGTTATAAACCTGGTTAGCAGCTCAGCCTTCAGGAGTACAAGATCTAATGAAAAGCCAAGCATGGATAAACCAGGTACAAAAACATATGCTGAAAAAAAGTCACCAACATCAACGTTTTGAATTTTTACACAAACAGTAAATTTTCTCATGGAAGGGAAGGACTGAGGAAGAGAACAAATAATTATTAGTTGTCTCCAACTGGTTTATGAAAATACCTGTCCTAGTTTTATCTATTTTCCACTCTCACAGAAGCCAACCATTGCCCACACATCCTTTTATTTTAATATGAAAGTTTTGTTTACGCTAGTACAATGAACGGCAGTGAAAAACAGATGAGGGGCTCAAACACCCACAGAGAGAGAAAAAGACAGACATGTCTTTTTTTTTTTTTTAAACCAGAGTGAGAAAAGTTTCTTTTGCTGGTTTTGAATTCTAGACTGTAGCCATTATATCCTAAATTTCACTGCAATCAACTGAAATGCCTCCAGTTTAGAGAGAAACGATTTTGAAATAAATAAGGCTTAAAATAATTGATCAGGGCCAGCCCAGTGGCTTAGTGGTAGTGCTCTGCACTGCCTTGATGAAGGAGGAGCCAGGTTTTGTTTGCACTTCCAATCTCTTGCTCCTGGGCCAGAAAGAGCAGTGAAAGGAGGGATTCGGCTGCTCAGCAGGAGAGAGCCAGTGCTGCACATCTGCTCATCACTGACCTTCAGATAAATTAAACATCTGAGTTATACAGGCTCCAAAGGGAGTCCCATCCAGTCCTCAAAAAAAAATAAATAAAACAATAATTTAATTAAAATTCATCCCAGGTTCTTTGGTGTAATTTTTGTTAATGCTGAGAAGTAGGAGAATCTGGTGGTGTATTAGTACAATCCATGATAGTTCCAAATGCTCAAAAACTAGGATTTTGCTGCCTGATTCACTTCAACATCCCATCTTTGTGGCTAAAAACTGCAAAACCTATGGTAACTTAAACACATTTTATAGGGGTGGTCTAAGACTATTCAATTTCTACTTTATTAAATAAAATTGGTAATTTACAAAGGCCAGTAAAGAATTTCTGTACCATGGGTGTGCTACTTGTAGAGCTCAAAACTGTCGTTTCCCTCTGTGTTGTTTTTTTCCATTTCCTTCACATCCACTTCACATCTGACCTAAACTGTCTTTAAGTGCCTATTTGTAATTACCAGGGGTATTTTGTGTAATGACTGACTGGAGGATTCCAATAGGAGAGGGAGAGGAATTGGCCAGTAAAATTAAATCACAGTTTATACTTGCAAGTGTCACTTCCCTTATGAGCATTAATTACATCAGCAAAACAAACCCCAAGATATCCAGTATTTGAAGGAAAATATTTAATTTAACCTTCTGCCAAATATACTGAAATGAAAACGTTCTGTACTAACAGACTTTAGAACTCATTTCCACATGATGAACATCTCTAGCATAAATGAAGTGTATCAGTAAATCAGTTAATTTGGGCTGAGTTGCAGTGCCCACATTCCTGCTGACTTTTCCCAAATTCATAGAGCTTTCCCAGTTACTAAAAGCAATCCAAAAGTATTAATTCTTTTTTCCAATATTAAATAAATGAAAGGATTTACCTTTAAACAAATAACTTTGTAGACCAAAAGGTTGGTTAGTTATGAGGACAGGTAAATCTTTAGCAGAAGGCAGCCACAACCTTGAAATTTGGCAAGAAGAGTCAATACCTACTTTACTTAGATTAAAAAAACAAAAACAAAAAAAAAGAAAAAAAAGAAAAAAAAAAAAAAAAAAAAAAAAAAAAAAAAAAAAAAAAAAAAAAAAAGAAAAAAAAAAACAACCCAAACCCTTTGAAGGCTGCAATGCAAGTACTCAATTTCTCCAATGTACTGGGTATGATGACCTTACACATACCATACCATACAGTAGTATTTTACTTTCAAGTTAATTTAAGCATCAAATTTCACTCAAATTTGCATTGCAGAACTTTCACTAAGGTTAATGAATACACTTAAAGAAAGCATACAAAAATGTCTTACAATGCCCAATCATGAACAGAGTATGCGTGAATTTAAAAAAACATCACATTACTTCACTAACAGAACAACTCCACTTCTCTCCCGTAACTTACCTTCCAAAACCTGGGCTGGTTCCGAGTTCTGTGAGCCTCTTCCAGCACAGACAGAATCTCTCAGGGAAGGAGCTTCCCTGTCCCACTGCTGGGGACATTGCAGAACCCCCAGCACAGGCCATGGCAGATGAAACACTTCCCCTCTAAGGGCCTGCCAGTACAGGGACTGTGGTACTGATTTAGGATCACAATGGCCTTGGCTACACAGTTAAATAACTGGACAGGACTGGACAACATGAGCAGTCGAGACACCCTTGTCCCGTCCACACCAGCACTTCCAGTGCTGCTGGGGCCCACCCAGCCATCTCAGTGTTGACTTGGAATGCCAATTTTCCTTAGTGCCAAAGCTTATCTTACCTTTAGCTTCTTTTAAGAGATCCTCCCTGTTCACACCCGAGCAGTTCTGCCCAAAGTGGCCAGCACACACAAGCACAGGTACACACATTCTTATAGGATGTAAACTATGACTAATTCACATTCCACTGTATCAATCTGTAAATACTTTGTTTTCCTTTTTTTTTTATATAAAAACAATGGCATCAGATTCTCAGCAATAAAGTATAAGAAAGGTGAATCCTTGACTACACTCAACCAATTATGAAATCGCCTTTCAAACAAAGGAAACATATGCAAAAAATCTGTGTATTTGATAAAGTCAACTTAATATAACAAAAAGTGAAATATGCTTATTAAAAGTGTCCTTATATAAAAATGGTCTTGCAATGTACAGTAAAATGCAATACAAATTATTGTTGGTTATCTCTTCCCACCCAGTAACTAAACCAGCTATTGTCCCATGAACTCCTGGAGCAGGAGTGCTGCTGTGCCTACACGTTCTCCAGGTTGTAGGCCTGGCGGATGTTCAGGGTGTCGCGCAGCATCAGGTCCCGCAGGCGCCACAGCGCGTCGGCCATGGTGGTGTGAGCCCCTTTGCTCTTCAACCAGTGCGAGGGCAGGCGGCTCTCCTGCTCCTTGGACAAGTGCACATCTCGTCTCCGTGCTGCAAAATCCAAGAAATGCTCCAATTACCTACTGGTTTATTCTAGAAAAAGGTAAATATAACACTACAATAGAAGATACTCTACTTTTGCCCTTAGTATTTAAACCCATACCACCGATTCTTAGGTTTATACAACACTGGTGGAGTTTGCCTGTGGATAACATATATTCTCAGTCTGTTGATTTATCTTTAGGAATTAATTGCATGGATATATTTTAATAAGCAAACAGCAGTTTTATTTCACGTTTGCTATAAAGGCAAAAATAATAGGTTACGAGGAAGCCAAAGCCTTACCTGCAAGGGTCTGGTCCCACTTGCTGATACTGTTTGACTCAGCACTGAGCCCCTCGATGTATTTCAGGTAGGCTTCAGAATGGAGGAGCCTCTGTGTCTTTGGTGGAGGGGAGACGAACATGGGGGTGCTGGGCTGCTGCATGACGGGCTGGCTGGCAGGGCTCTGCCCTGGGTACGGCGGGGGCGCCTGCTGGCCCGGCGGGCCCAGGATCCCCATCTGAAATGCAAAGCCAGCCAGGGGTCACACCCCACAGGTCACACCCCAGCCTCGGGCCATCCTCATGCAATGGAGTTTCAACTGAGATTATGTGCAAAAGCCTGAGAAAACTTCCCTGGAGATGCACATTTTGGCCGGGAGATGCACCAAGAAAGGAAGTACAAACCAACCCTTCATACTCAACAGATATTGTTCATATTTCTGATCTATGTAAATATACTCCTAGCCTTAATTACACCTTCTATCTCCTTTTCATTTCCTGTTTTCTCCAATTTGATCTGAAATCCTGTGGTCTGTAAAGTGCAAGATTTAACTCTAAAACATCTAATCCAAACTGACACAGATCCTTGCACAACCGGGTTATTTCCACAGAATCACTGTCAGGCAAAAATCTCAGGCAGGAAAATTCCCAGTCACACAGAAGAATTCCTACCACTGTGATTAACCAGCAGTACTGAGAGCTCTTAGCACAGACATCCTGTTGTCTGGAATAACTCAACATCACAACATCAACACTTTACCACTTAACTTCTAGTACTCATAGAATCACAGAATGGTTTGGGTTGAAAGAGGCCCTAAAGCCCATCTCATTCCAACCCCCTGCCATGTGCAGAGACACATTCCACTAGACCAGGTCACTCCAAGCCCCATCCAACCTGGCCTTGAACAACTTCAGGGGTGGGGCAGCCACAGCTTCTCTGGGCAACCTGTGTCAGTGCCTCTGAATAAATAACTTCTTCCCAGCATCTAACCTGAACCTCTCCTCTTTTAGTTTAAAACAGCCCTCCACCCACATCCTACCACTATTTGCCTGTGCACAGCAACTCTCCCTCCCTTTCTTTACACCCTCAAGCCAAAACCACATTTCTCTTTATGATGCAAAAATGTAGTCAATAAAATTGGAAATTATCTAAACAGTTAATCTTCATTAATTACTGAGAAGAAATGTCAGATCATCACAGTTACCCACGCTCACAAATTCTGAACTGCCAATGAACATCTGCTTCATCAGTTTGTGAAATATGAATATTCTGTTATCTATGCATCAACTGATAAAATGGGCAGTGTCCTCTCTGTGTCACAAAGCACACAAAACCTAAATTATCAGCAGTTTCACAGTATGCTGAAATTACACAGTTTAGTAGAAAAGTGAGACAAAACACTGCCTTGTTTGTACTGAAGTTACCTCACTCAACAAACCTCCTGAGTGTAACAACAATGCCATCATCAAATACAGACATACTCACTAAGTGTGAGATATCAATTGGCTCTAAACACATCAGAAAATTTCATTTCTGTTCTCCCTGGGAAAGCCTATGTGCATCCTTACATGTCTAAACTGGGATGTTGCTCAAATGCTGATTCTGAGCCTTAGAGCCTCATAAATAATGCAAAAATGACTCACCTGCTGTCCAAAAGGACTTGCTCCTGGTGCTGGAGTGCCTACCATAGGGGACACATTTTGGCCTATAACACCTATATTCCAAAATATAAAATAATTAGTCTTACTTCAGAGCAGTGACAAATACATCTTTGGTCTTCTATAGAAAGAATTAATACTTTGATATCACTGCTCACAGTTATTTTAAGTAGATGTACAACATTCAAATATTCCCCTCGCCCCCAGTAAAAAACTTCCCAAGTTTTTGAATGAAAAAAACAAAAGCCAACATGACAACTACCAAACACTGATATGTGGCCTGTTGAATAATTTTAAATAGAGAAATGCAAAGTGAATAGGTTTGGCTTTTCAGGCTTTTTTCGTGTTACTTAGTGATTGCCTGATTGCATCTTTTCATTTATAATATACACCTTTGGCTTGACAGGATCTTCCTGAAGTCTTTCCTTTAAGAAAGGAAATGCTGATCTGCTTTAGCAACACTTCACATTTCCTTGTGTTCAGTTTTGTAAAATGTTCACAGCAAGATGAAATTCAGGTATTTCATAAATTCTGTTAGATGTCACTAATACAAAATGCAACTTGCAGGTTAAGCTTCAATAGCCTTAGAGAACAATGAATATTTAAAATCAATGTAAAAAAAATAAAAGCTGTTTTTCTCAAGCATATTGGGACTTCTCCCTACTGCACAGAATGCAGTACAACCATGTCAGTCTTACATACAAAAATGTACAGGTCTAAATGAGAATCATGCAGTTCCTGACATTTTATATACAGATGCTCTGGTCTGAAAAAAATGAAAGTTATATGTGCTGCTGCTTTCTTTCTGTTTGTGCCACTTCTCATGTTCACTCATTGGAAAAGCTGCAGACTAACTGTGCTCTTCCTGAAGATTTAATTTACATGAATTAAATACATGATTTCTGTATCAGTGATCAAAGGATGTGCTACTGGGTTTCACTCACTAAAGCATTATTCAAATGCATTTTCCATTTGATCACAGCTCCCATTTTAAATGCATCTGTACCAACAGTATGTCAGAAGTTGGGAAAAACATTGGTAACACAAGCTGTGGAATTATTTTTAGTCCAAAGGGAAAGGGTTTGGAGGAGGGCACCCTCCCCATCACAGCACCAGAGCACGGCTTCACCCTTAGCGTGCTGTGCCCAGTTCAGCACCACTTCATGTGGGGTCCTGCACTCCCAGACATTGTTTCTTGACTAATCCACATCCCATCAGTTATAACACAAACATCCAGCCCACCGTGGTGGGAGCAGCCTTTCAGAGGGATGTGCTGTCCTGGATTCACCTCCCACATGTCTGGCTGATGTGTGCTAATGTCACTGCACAGCTGCTGTCCTGGTCCCTCTAAGTGCCATCACAGGGAATCGTGTGCTCCAGCCAAGCTGTGCGTGCAATGCTGGTGGATTTCATAAACACCAGGCAAGCAAACAAAAACTCCCCAACTCAAGTAATTTATGTACAGATAAAATTCTTAAAACAGCTTCTGATAAAAACATTTGCAAGGGGATAGAGGGAGGCAGATGAGACAATTTTGTCCACAGCTTGTTTACTGCTGAATAGAGGGATAGCACATCTTTTTCATGGGCACATGAATTATCAGAAGTAAAAAATGAGTCAAGCAGGGAACAGATCAAGAGGGCAGATAAATGTTTTTCCCCTTAATTGGGACATGTTAATGGCATTAACACTGGTAAAATGTTTCATTTAAGCCTCACTTTTAATAGAAAGTGTGGTAAAAATACACCAAATGCAATAGAAATGCTCTCAAAAATCAATTCAAAATTTGGCCACAGGGAATACTGAATTCACCTTGTCCCTACATATTTCCAGTCACTGTTCTATCAGCAAGCTTTAATCTGAACACTGTTTTACAGTAACACATCAGTACTCTAGTGGCCACGGAGTCTTACATGACCGGGCTCGTTTCAGTGCAGTCTGACATTAACACACTGAAAAAGACTTTGGTAAGGAACAAGAACAATAAATTTCATTTATAACCCCACTTCAAATAAAAAAAGGATGAGTGTAGAGATACTGTTCAAATAACATAAGGATATGAACAGGGTGATTTCAGCTTTTCACACCTCTGATAAACTCAAGCACAATTATCAAGGGTTTTTTGACTGGAGCAAAACTCCTGCTGGAGCAGCATGTTTCTCCAGTACCCTTTCCCTGAGGGCTTACTGGACATGCTGTTGTGCCAGTATTTTGCACACCCCTCATAATCAGCAGTGCTGCTGCTCACAATCCAAAGCCAGGACCAGAACAAGCTGCAGAGAACTCCTGTAACAATGGGTAAAACCAAGTACATGACAATGAAATAAAGAGGGAATGAGGATGAGGTTCTTACCGGGTGGTGGGATGCCTGGGATGCCTGGCATACCTGGCGGGAGTTGGTGGGGTGGGGGCACCCCTGGGTGAAGTGGCTGCATGCTGCCCATGCTAACAATGCCATCAACTGGGCCCTGCAAAGGTGGCAGCACCGGTGGATAGCCACTTATCATGCCTTGAAGGACACAACAAATTTCAAACATGCATCAATAACATGCAGTATGGTCTACACAGTATGCACAGACATGCACTATCCACACACACACGCACAAAAATAGCACCTTTAGTACAGCAAGACAAATACTACAATTAGTATCTTGCAAAATAAAAAAAAAAGAGAACAAAAACTAAAAAAAAAAGCTGTAAATATGAAACACTATACTTTTGATGAATTAGTATTTAGTGTGCTTATATGTTTCTCACGGGGCAATAAATGTTGAATACTCAGATATGTTAACACAAGGCATAAATTCAGCCACAGTTATATGTTACTAATGCAAGCAGTTTTAATACAGCTTAAAGCTCTGCCATCTGCACACAGATTACAAACACAACACTGGCTGGCCAGCCCCACAGACAGCCCTGCTCTGTAGGCTAGTTCAGAGGCCACAAAAATAAAGCCCCAGACATTTTCCTGCAGTACACATGCAAAACTGATGCACAAAAGCCCTCCAACATTCACATACTTGAAACTAATGGCAGTGATGGATGATTTTTATTAAACCATCTCCAGTATGAACTAAGACAGCAACACAGATTTTAAACTTAGGTTTAAAGTGCTGGGCTTACACTCATGTAGTAGTAACTTGTGCAGTAACTTACGCTCAGGGCATTAGATTGAAGTGAAAGGGCTCAAAAGGAACACCTGCAGTCCCTCACAGAATTTCACTGTCCATGTCTGCAAGGTGTCTTTAGAGGAAAATCAATGACACTGCAAACACTGCATTGTGCTGCTGCTCAAAAATTTAGTTTTCTGCATGTGAAGGAAGAAAATTTCTCTGGCTTTGGCTCAGATTTTCTGCTATCTATGTAGTGAACCTACACAGTATAACTGCACTATGCTTGTTAGGCCCTGGAATGATTAACTTAAATGGATGCATTGCCAGGTAAGCAAGGAAAGGGGTTGGAAAGACAATGAAAAGATGACAGAGGACAGAAGCAGGTCTAGAGAGATGAGACAAGTAGGAAATGCAGATTTGTTGGGGCTTCTATAGTCTGCTCCAAGAAACCACCGAGTCTTTGCCACACTCCCTGTAATTCATAAAAGGAACTTTCAAAACAGAGACTTCTGCAATGAGACTGGCCAAAAACTCTCATCAGTTCTGACTGAGAACAAAGCTGTCACAAGCTCAGGGTCTAAACAGGAGAAGCAGCTCCAAAATAAAAGCTAAACCTGTCACTTCCTCAGGACGTTACAGAAGTGAGAAACCTCTAATCTCAAAAGCTCTACATGGAGAAAACACCAAGAAAATAAAGAACTAATCTCCCTCAAGCCTTCATTTTCCACAGGGCACCTAGACTGACACATGAAATATGCTATAGGTACCTATTTCAAATATCAGAAACCTTATCTGTACCTCTTTATTACAGGGAAATCCATACTTCCAATGGACAAAGGAAAAGAAGAAACACAACAAAAAAGCCTCCTTGGCATAAAGAGCTTTCACACTGTAGCTACTGCCTGGTGCTTGCTGTGCACCCCGAGCTGCTGACACATCTTCAGTGCAGTTAATGCACTTCTGAAGCTTCAAAACAAACAAACAAACAAACAAACAAACAAAAAACTCTCCAAGGAATCAAACCCATATTTATCAATCATGGAAGCTTAGTTCTACATTTCCAATTAAAATACTCAACAACTGGCTAATAAAGGTGCCATCCAATCTCCATGATAAATCAGTTCTTGTAGCTCATTCTGAATAAGAGCAGCCATTTTCTTACCCCATGTACAAATTGCAAGCTTTTATTTTAAACTAGCAAACATGGCCAAACTATTTCCAGCTCCCACAACTGTGATTTAGGATGTCTTGGAAATTACTTGTTCTCCTGTTTTTTATTATAACAACGTAAGATTAAGTACACTTTTGCAATACCTAAATGTAGAAGATATTGAAGTGCTACACATTAAGAGAAACACATCTCAGAAGGCTTCCAGATTTCCTGGCCCTGTGGGCCATAAAGAAGTTCTGTGGTGGAGAAGTTCTCTGAACTAGAGATAAGCAATCCAAGGATGGAGAAGGATGTGAAGGAGGTCCAAACAGAACAAGATACTTCCAAGTAGGGACTTGTGAAAACCTAAAGATGAAAGACTGTGTTTTTCAAATGGGCCACGAAAGTAGAAAGGGTTTAAAAGGATCTGCTCCATCACCTATTTTAAGGAAGTATTTCCCAAAGCCAAAGTGAAGAGCCTTGAGTGTTGATCTGCTTGAGTAAGACAATGGCCTGAAATAGAGGTTTGCTGTCACAGGAAATAAGGTAGCATGTGTAGCTGGCAGAATGCACATTTTTGGGGAAGTTTTAAGGAAGTGTTAACAGCAAGTATTACTGCCCATCAACACCTGCCTCCAAAAATTGGAAAAGTGACTCAGTGCCAAAAAACCTAAGAATCAAACTAAGAAAACACAACCACAAGAGGATGGTACTTCTACATAGTCTAGATTGATGAAAATTATTCACAAAAGAGATCAGCACTGGGAAACTCTTTTCCCCCTCTCTTTTCTTAATATATTGCACAGAAAAGTGTACACACACACACACACAAACATACACCAACTGCAAACAGTTCAGAGGGAAATTACCACAAACAGAGTGAAAAAAAAGCCAAAAAAAAAATGCAACTCAGTGTAAACAAATGCTTTGTAACCTGGAGATCATGTACCAACTAAGGAATGTGCTTTCAGTTAAACATCCATGCAGCCTATTTACTGAAAGGGGATTTAGAGATCGTGATGAAAAACGCTTCAGGCTGTCAGCTCGAAATAAGGCCACAGCCTGTGAGATGAGAAAGAAAAAGAAAAATGACAAAAGAATAAATGGAGTAATTGGAATGTCTTAAGGGAAAGCTAAAAAGACCCCAAAACTCAAACCAAAAACCCTCCAAATACTGATTTTTATCTACTTGGCACTATTTTGACCTTGACTGAAGGAATTTAGTTCTTATTTTAATTAGAAACTGGGGAAGGAAAACAACCTATCAGGTCACACCTAATTAATTTTCTCACCCACGTATGGCTGATTTCCATACAAGAGTCTTCAGTGGACTACATTGTCTTCAGATCTGATCCTGAAAATACTTACTCCGAGCATACTCCCTATGAAATCAAGCCGGATTACAACTGGTAACGAGCTCAACCAGCAACAGGGACCTCGTGGAAGAGTTCTCCAAGCTCAGTTCTATTCTGAAAAATAACCTGATAAAACCAGCAATGTTGTCATTTTGTCTTTGTTTCTGCAATGGCTCTAGATCCTGGTCTGCTCTGCTTACCAGTGCCTAAGAGGCAATTCTACAAAGCTTTTGCTTGGATTTAAAATCTGGGTTAGACTCTGTTGGCTCTCACCTGCCTGACAATTAAACCCCCAACAATTTCCCTCCTGCTTTACCACTGCCACAGATGCTGCATGCACTAGAAGACTATTTAGCTGCTGCCCTCCTGCTACAGCAGGGCTAAAGGTGAACTCTGCAAGGCAGAGTGAATAAACACGACTGCACACTACCAGAACAGGAGCACTGCACGAGGAGGACCCTGCTTCCCTGCATTTTCCACAGGCTACTCTCCACTGGAGCAAGTAAGGCTGGACACCAGGCCACTGCTGCACTAGGCATGTTCATCATGAAGAAGGACTGAAGAGTTTGAGCTTTCGCTTCCAATGTGACCCAAGAGAGTGTTCAGAGTTATGAAGGGGGTTGATAAAGTGGATGAGGAAAAAATGGTCATAGCTCCTACGTTTTACCTGCAACAGGTGTCAACTGCTGATTGAGCATTCCCATTGGTGTTGGTGGCGGCACCACCCCCATAAGAGCCCCGACAGGAGTGCCTGCCCGGGGGGAGGAATTCTGCTGCTGTGCTGCTCGCTCTCTCTCCTGCTGCTCAGCAACTTTAGCTGCCCGCTCTGTAAAAGTATTTTAGATTTTCAGTTCTGTTTTGTAACCCAGAATTTCAAAATATTATCTGTTCATTAAAAAGGACTAGTCAGACACTGGCATAGTTTAGTCAAATATAAAGTAGAACAGATGAATCTTTTTTATACAGCATATGATTTGATTTCATGTGGCTGCAGCTAAGACTTTTAGAGTACCTTTCATGAAAAATATTCCACAAAGTTTTATCTCTTTCTAAAAAAAAAATAAAATTAAAATAAAGAATAAAATAAAATTTTTTTAAAAAATTAAAAGAACAAATTTGATGATAATAACACCAGTGTTACCAACATGAAGCAGCAGTCCAGCACTAGGCTTGGTCCGCAGTAGGACATGGCAAAACATTCCCTGTTTTGACACCACTGGCTCAGCCAAACCAGCTGCAGCCAAGGCCAGCAGCTCTTGGGTGAATCCTCTACCAGCTGCTGCGGGAATTCAAGTCCCACCGTCAGGTGTGCCCTAAAGAGTGCTGCAAAGAGCAGACAGCAGTGCCAGCTGGTGGCACAGCCATTTGTGGGCTCCCCATGTATTTTACTACTGATGCAGCTGAAGAGTGGTGGCAAAATAGGGGAGCATTTGTAAAGTTTCCCTAGTGCATATTGGTCCTTAGCTTTGGGAACATAACAAGCAGCAGTTTGATAAACCAAAAATTTTTCTCTGCTTCTTTCTGTCACTTCCCCGTTTGGTCCCCTAGGAGTTATTTTTTTTTTTTTCTGAAGATGTCTAACTCACATTGTGCTGCTCACTGGAGGCCATGTGTGTCCTTTGTACGATGAATCTGGTCATTATCTCAATCAAGTCTCTCACTGTGACTGCAAGAACAAAAGATCTACTGCAGGGTAATCTGACCAGAGGACAATTTTATATTAAGGGAAGGGCAAAGGGTCATGGGAAGAAGAAAGAAAAAAACCAAAAACCAAGCAAACAAAAAAAGAGAAATACTGAATGCCCACTCCAGGTGCTTCATGGGCATGCAAGTTCCTGCTGTGTTTACTCTGAACGTTGTGTCTGACTGGCACAATGAGGAACAAGGAAGAATAAATGGATGCAGGATACATCTCCAGCAATTTTTAACAACAGTGAATGCAGGGCTATGAGTTCTCTTGCAGTTGGTGAAAGATGGAAACTGCCACTAAACCAGCAATCAGTCCTCTGTCAAACAAAGGCTAAGAAGAAGTTCATCAAGGAAATTAAGTTATGCATCCTGCCAGTATTACTCACTTCCTCTAGGACACGACTTTGAATATCTACCACACTTTTGACTCCTCTATAACCTGTTTATGCAGCTTCTAGCACTACTTGCATACACTCAAAGACCAGTTTAATTTCCAAAGACATTTCCTTCTTTCTTTCCACTTCTGCAATTTCAAGGAGTGATGACGACGCAGAGAAACTTCTACATTTAATATAGGCAACTCGGATGCAGTTGAGCACAAAATACACAAGATATTTAAAGGTAGATCCTGAAGTAGAAAAATGAGAAAATCCTCTCCAGAGCACAGCAAGCACTTCGGGAAAAGATGAAGCAGTTGTTCTGACTCTCACCTACTTTTGGCCAGCTAAAAAACAAAAAATGGTCAGACAAAAGCAAAAGAGACACTCTGATGAATGAGAAATTACTGTTAAGTGTTCAGCTTTATCTGACTTCAGAGTGCTGAAGTTTGAAGAAGGACCTGACATAGGACAATACTCAAGTTTTACCTAGCCCCTATCCATGCCCTGGCTCCCACAGTAAGAAGTAACAAATGGACTAACACTGCCAAAGGGAACCAGAGGAGGTATCTGAAAGTTCAGCCTAAAGCATTCACCCTAATACTCAATAATAAACCCAAATCACATAGGCCAGGACTTGAGATCATTTGAACATTTTCAGCACATCTCAAGAGACAGGAAAGAGACCAGCTCTGAACAGTTTTTCCTTACAACAGGCCTTTCCCTCAATCCCTTTTACTTTATTTAGCCATGCAGGCACTTCCAACACTGCCTCTTCTTTACTCAACTATTGGTAAAAAACCAGCTAAAACCATGCACATAAACCAAACAAATTTTCAGTGGGTAAAAATGGATCTAAAATGTAAACCACTTTTCATCAGAAAATGAAGGGCCCTTTTTAACTGAGGTGTCAAACCATGCCCGCTCCCTGGTTCACATCCACACCAGGGAACACATGAATTTTGACTCTTCACAAGGGAAGGAGTGAAGTTTCTCTCCTTTCACACACCGTAAGCAAACACAGTTTGGACACTTTGTTACCCCATCCCAACCCTTCAAAACTAAGTAAAAGTAAGTCTAGTTCGAGACAGACACTAAGCCAGGGAAACTGAAGCTCAAACCCCAAAAGCTTTGGAAAATTTTAATTGAGAAGGAAGATTAAAATGGAAGCACACAGACAATCATTAACATGGTGGACAAACAGAGCCTTCCTGCAGAAGTACAGGACTTTAAGCTGCTCTAAGCGAGGAAGCAGTGACATGCCAGCCATCCTCCTGCTGAAGGATGAGGCTGTAAGGAGGGATCTGCCAATAAAAAGATCACACATGCACCTAGAAGGGTGTAAAAGGAAACAACTACAGAACAAAGTAAGGCCCCAGCATTCTCAGAAAGAAAGTCAGTTACCGTTTCCCTTCGCAGCATTTGCAAAGCAAATTTGCACAGAGCAGAGGGTGTTATTTTACCCTCCAGAGCTGCAAAGAGGTGCTACTGAAAATTCAGAAAGGACTGTGGTGGTTGAGAGTGGACAGTGACAGCATGCAAGCTTTCAGCCTCAAGATCAAAGCTGCCTTTAAGTTATGGGTGTGCAGAAAACCTATCAAATCTCATTTTCAGGTTATAACTTAATTGGGCCATAACTTTCCAAGGTGTTGAAATGTTCCTATCCAAAGGAGCATTTTCTTTCAATAATGTTGCATCAATACAGTAGTTAATAGTGTTAACATGCTATTAACTAGAGAAGTAACTATGGATATTAAATCCATGTATTTGGCTTGGGAAAAGGCTGGCTGTTAAAGATCAGCTGTATTTTATTTTAATCAAATGAAAGTTAAAACACAGTGACTATCAGAAGGGAGGGAAGGAATGGAAGGAAAGGAGGGAGGGAAGAAAAGGAGGGAGGCAAAGAAAGGAAAGGAGGGAAGGAATTGAGGAAAAGGGAATAAAGGGACAAGAGATAAGTCTAAAGTATCTCATGATTATGAAATATTCCTAGGCTTACTTCAGGATCTGAAATTTCTTGACAAAATCAGTTACAAGAGTTGATAAATACTGTACTGAACAATAGGACATATTTACAATATGTACAGTACAAAGCCTCTTAAGACTCTAAGTATTTTTAATAATGAACTTTTCCCCACCCCTCTGTAAGTCTTTCTTACCTGCTGCTACAGCTCTCAAGAGCTTCTTGTCCAAAATAACCCTCAGTCCTTAAGGAAACATTGACAAAATATCTTTCCAACTAAGTTCTAGCCCAGAAGCTCCATACCCCTTTACTTCTAATTAGTGCCCATTTTCTTGGTCTTTGTTAATTTGGTTATTTGTGGCAAAGACATTTAAATTATCAGTTGTGCTCTACATAACTGAAATATGCTCTTTGCTCCTCTTCAGTCATTTCTCAATATGAACTTCTTTTTAAGGTACGCCAGAACACAAATATAAATATTTTCTTTTATTAAACCTGTCATCTGAACAACAGAAAGTGTTGAGAAAGAAAAAAAGGCAGAAAAGAGTTCAGCATCTCAGTTTTTACTTACCTTCATATTCTGCTTTCTTTGTTGCTTCCAAGTTTCTCCATTCAGTTCCTACAAGTCTGCTGAGCTCTCCAAAGGAGTAGTCTGGGTGCTGAGCTTTAATCACAGCTCTCATCTCGCTGCTAAACAAGATGTACCCACTCATGTTGATCTTCCTTTTTGATCCCTCCTTCTTGGTGCTGCCCTTAACAGACTTGGGAGTGGACTGTGAGAAAAAGCAGTTATGACCACAAGCGCACAAAAGAGAACAAAAGGAATTGTGTCATGTCACAGATTTTGTCCATTGAGCTGTTCAGAGACGTTGCCAACACAAGTTAAGTAAAATATTTTATTTGCCATCGCACATTTTAGGAAAATGCTTCTCCACCTCTTCCTGCAAAATTGGCCTTTGCAATCCCTACTCTCCCCCTCATTCCACCTTCTAAATGTTATTTTGCCTGCCAAACCTTCCTTTCTCTCTAGTATTCACTTCTCATTAAGTAAATAGCCATTTCCCCCTGAAAAACCAAGGCCCAGTTTTGCTGATCACTGTTTACCTGCACCACAGATTCACATCATGTGTTTATGTTGTTGAGTAACAAAAATTCTGCTCCTTTGCTTTTCCTACTATGGATATCCCCGGGGAGAGCTCTGTGATGTTTTCAGCCACCAAAAAACTAACCTATTGTGACACCTCTATACTAAGATACTGCAGCTGGAGCCCATTTTTGAAAGCACTTCCATTTATATTTGTCACGTAATTCATCCATACTTTGACCAATAAGACCCATAAATGTATTATCACATCAAAATCCTCTGAAGGCCTTTCTCATACCCCAAACATTATGAATCTGTCACATCTTGAAAAGTGCCATTGTTTCCAAGTACCTGGTAGAGGCAAAAAAGGAAACAGAATATATTCAACTTCCTCTCCTGAAATTCTGACCATGTTACTGACTCCATCTACTTGCTTCTTTGCCCCTACAGTTCAACACTCTTCTCTCACCTAAAAACAAAGTTTTAGTAATACCAAGATGCTTAAAAAGTCTTGCTTATCATTTTAAGCAAGATTAACTGAGGCCCATTTAAATGGGATTCTAAACTTCACTGTACTAACTTGCAATCTACCCTTGACATTTTTATTATGAACCTAAAGACAACTTGTCTGGAGAAAGTGAAGAAAACCCCACACAGGGCTTGGGATGATACACAGGGCAGATACAATTCCATCCTGGCTTCTTGGGCAAGCCCACACTGGCAGATGGAGAGTTCGCAAACCAAAAAGAGGGAAATCTAATTATATGTTTGGCCTCTGATACATTTGCAAATAGAGCTACAAGTTTACCACCTGTTTTAGCCTACATAGTTCTTGCAACGGTTTTGGAACAGTAATTTAATGTAAACCCCCCCCCCACCCCCCATCAGTTTGGAAGGGCAAACAGGACTTGGAGAAATCATAAGAATTCCAAATTTGGTTCTTCCATTCTCTGTTCTTTTCCAACTCCCATACACACATTTTTAAATGAACAGTCTTTTCCACCAGAGCCAGATAACAGCATATTTACATTAAGACTTGCTAAAAGAAGAAATTAACCAGGACTCCCTTTTATTCCTTTTCTCAGCCATATTGCTAAAGCAAAGAATAAAGCTGCACACCTCTTTTTTAAGTACTTTGACTCAATTCATAGCAAACTGCAGCAGGAAAGCATCACCCACCTATCTGCCAAGCCCCACAATACCACATATTCACTTGTCCTGTCTCTTCTCCTATACTTAGGTGTTATAAAAATGTCTTTGTTGGCAGAAGAAAAAAGAGTTTAAAAGTTTTAGGGTTTAACACTTGTTAGAAAAAAATCCACTTCTACTGGAATACTCTTTAAGAATTTTCAAGCTGCTTATAAAATTCAGCTTGTTAAACAAGAGCAGCAGTGAGCAACCTTGCCAGGGAAAATACATTTGATTGTGACTACATGGCAAAAAATCACACTCAAACCAGGCAAAAGCTTTCAATTTCAGCAACTCTTTCACAACATCCAAAGACATTTCTACCCTGGGGTCATATCCTTTCAATGTAATGCAGGAGAAATCAACATTGCTGGTCGTAAAAGTGTCTGAAACTCCCTCCTGTTCCCAGCAGATCATTCCCATGGCCTCTTTAAGACTGGCATAAGCTTGGATGTGGGAGTGTGGCGACACAGAAAAAGGGTTTAATCCAGTTGCAAACAAACTTTTTTGGATAGTTGAATTTCCAGGTAAGGCAGTTCCTCACTCTGCTTCCACATCCAGTTATACAAATTCCAGGGCTATATAAAGAAGTATTATACCTGAATTATATATAAAGACCTGATACTTCTGAACAAGTGTCACATTATTAGAAACAACACTAATACATAAAAATGTACCCTGGGTTTTTCTCAGCTGAATGATTTCCTTTAAAAATATTTTAATGGAATGAAACAGTATCACTTGGATATCATACTGGACATGCCAAAATTGTTTTGTGCCATTTACTCCATATACTTGTAAATTTCAGTATAAATCCTTTGTTTGTATATGATAAAATGTGACTTTCTTCATTTGGATTGCAAAAAGAATGTGGAATATAAAGGTTCAAGGGTTCCTGAAGCAAAATCCTTACCTGTGGTGGAGTATAAGGCATTATATCCAAATCACTGGCTAAGGGGGCCTGAAGCTGAGGCATAGAAGGTGTTTCAGTCATATCACCTTCCTCTTCTCCCATCTCTTCCATGTCCTCATCACCTCCTTCCAACTCAGCAAATTTTGCTTCCAGCTGCTGAATCTTCTTTTCCAGTAGAGGAGATGGCTCTTTTTGAGGAACTATGGGTTTTCTGGAAGGTGGAGGAGGAAGACAAAAAGCAGCTGAGAACAGATTCATACCTTACAGGAGAATGAACTCGTTTTTGAAGAGAAAATCAACTTTTCTTAATTTCTGACTGAACAATATAGAAACAATGGTGACTTAAGATGGTGACTTAAGACTATGCTTCCTTTCAGACCCCTGAGCAGAACTAGTTTTGTGTCTATGCCCAATGCTTCATTTCAGTCACTTGTTAGAAGGATTTTTTATGAGTTAGAAGGGGATTTTAATACAAGTACATAATTTCTACAATAGAAGGCAGTTAATAACACAGCTTCCTTAGATTTCACATTTTACTTAAGTTAGAACTTAATATTTTTGTTTTATTAATATGAATGTTCACCAAAAGATTTTCCTTACTCAAAATGAGGACTTAAGTATTTTCACAATATCCAAGAGAATGTACCAATCTGATAAAGTAACAACTTGAAGTCAGAGGAAGAAGAAGAAAACAGCCATTGGTATGAAGACCATAAAAAGACTGATGGCATCTGGATTTCTTTCCAAGAGTGTGGTTATTTGAAATCACACCTCTGACTTGTGTGGGTGTCCTGGGTCAGGCTGGGATGGGGTAAATTCCCTGCACAGCAGCCGAGAGGTGCCGTGTTTTGGATCTGTGAGACAATGGTGTGGATAACACATCCCGCTGTAATTAGTGCTGAACAGCTCAGCATCAAGGCCTTTCCTTTTCCCCACTCTGTGCCCCAGCAGGCTGGGGCTGGGCAGGGATTTGGGAGGGGAGACAACCAGGACAGCTAAGACAAACCAGCCAAAGGGGTATTCCATACTCTGACACCGTGCTCAGCAATAAAATATGGGGAGAAGGAAAGGACAGGCTACATTCAGGGATATGGCATTTGTCTTTCCCAGTAACCATTCCATGTGTCAAGGCCCTGCTTTCCAGGAAACAGCCAAACATCTGCCAAGGCCCTGCTTTCCAGGAAACAGCCAAACATCTGCCCACTGATCTTGCTCTGTTTATGCATGTAGCTTTGCTTTAATTTCCCAGCTGTTTTTAACTCAAGGCAGGAGGTTTTCTTCCTTCCAGCCTTCAGATTCTCTCCCCTATTCCACTGTGGGGCAGTGACCAAAAGGCTGCATGGGGGCTTAGCTGACAGTCCACTACAATCCAGAAGAGTGCTCAGGTGACCCCCTCGTTCCCCTTACATTTTTACCTAAAATAGTATATTTCATCATCTACAACTTTTGCAGACAGTGAAAACCTCTTCAACCCCTTGAATTTCTTCATTTGTTTGTCGCTTTCGTTGTAGCGGCTCTCGCAAAGAAAAACATCGTTTTCGGAGATTTCTGTTGGTCTGCAGGAGAGGAAGTCTTTGAATGACAGAACGACACACTTTCCTGCAGAAATGAAAGAGCTGGGTAAGAAGGCAGCCACACTTGCAGACTTTTTTTAAAAAGTGTGGAAAGTCCATTTTTTTTTGCCTGTCTTGTAAGTGTGGAAGATTCCTGGAATTTGGCACAACTATGGAAAACACATCAATTGATATTCCAACCAAATAATGCCACTCACAAAAAATCCACAGCAACTTAATGCAGCTTTTGGATTTTTTTTTAAGAACTAGAGAACACACAAAATCACAAGCCCCCTTGATCACTGTCAGTTACTGCATTTATCACAGCATCCTAAATCAGAAACAAAGTACAAAAACAAATACAATACAAAGCCATCATCTTCTGCAACAAATCAAACTTCAACCTCCTACTCCTCCTTTCAAATTTCCAGGTAATATGTACTGGAGTAATTACATTCATTTTCAAGAAAAATGGAGTTTTCTGTTCTCTGGCTGTAAACAATGTTCACTTTCATATCATACATTGTAAGAAAGCTTCCTTATACTGAATCCTCACAACAGGTCCCACAGGCTGGAATGGATATTAGAAACGCACTGAACAGTATCTCCTCCCTTCCTCAGTGAAAAAGACATACTTGGAATCAAACCTACACATAGCCTTCAATCACTTCAGATTGTGCAGGAAAAGAAGTAGTCCATCAGATTAAAGTGGTCAATAATTACCCAAAATGCAAGTCATGGGACAGGTCTCCTCCAAGTTACTTAAAAACACCTCCTTCTTATAGAACATTTTAGTTGGCTCATGCTCAGTTTCTTCAGGATGTATAAAGATTGGACCAAAGAAATATGCGGCTCCATCTCGCACCCACATCTTCTCAATTCTGCACAGAAACCAAACCAGCAACATAAATGAAAGTCCATTTCTCCCAAGTGAGGCAGTAGGATGTTCAGGAAGACCATCAGTGGAAAACAACTACAGAACAGCCAATTCCAACTGTACAACTGGACCAGGTTTTTATTAGGCAGCTAAAATTCCACCTCAATCTATCAAGACCTTGTAACAATTACTCACATTTTTTCCCATCCTCTTTTATACCTTTTTGCAACCAGCCCTCTTTTATCCAAGTTATTTTTACAGCTGTAAACTGCAAACAGAGAAGCTGTCCCTACCTTCCTACTCGAGGCCGTACCAGGCCATGAGATTTTATGAAGACACAGTCCCCAACCTTCAGCCACATGTCATTGTAGCAGAGCTGTTCAAAGTAATGGCAACCAGGTTCCCCATTGGACATTTCTACTGGAACATCTTCTTTGTCCTGCAGAAGAAGAAGCATTTAGAAACTTGAGGAAGGAGGAAAACCAAGTACAGAAATAAAGAGATTCCAGGTACCAGCAAAAGGCTTTGCTCAACATTTATGTTAACAATAACAGGTAAGCACCAAGCAGAGATGTGTGTGCAGAAGTTTCCTGAATTAAAACTGCAAAGCCAAAGATACCCTCCATGTCTGTCACAAGCTTTCCTATTTCACAAAGCTCTAACTTTGCCAGATTAATAATTTACAGGTCCTTTTTTGTTCTAGTGCTTCAAAATAAACTGGCCAAGCCAAGCCATGTCAACTTTGATGGTTTAAAGCCCAGTAATGTGCTTAGGAAGCAAGAACTGGATATATGGCCAAGCTAACAGACACAAAAATATAATGATTCAACTGTCTTATACAAGAATAGGAATTCCATGTATTACTTACAAATTCATACCATCTGCCCTATTTAATTTCTTACTTTTTAGTAAAAACTGCAATTGTGCCTCATTTCATCTTTCTGCCTGAGTTACCAGAAAGCCAAGGAAACACAGGCTGTTTCACCAAGGCATAGAAGGAAAAGATCCTAAGAGTTTTCATTCTCCCAGTAGAATTAATTCCATCTTTTGTCATGATGTGAATAAATACACTAATACACACCAGGTGTCTGACAAAAGCTGACAATGGGTGTGTAGGGGATGTGTTCTCAGGTTCTATTAGAAAATACAAAGTGGATTTTTCATAGGTTTTTTTAGTGATTTATGATATTTTTTGAGTCTCTTATTTTTTTAAGGCTCTAAATTTATTGTGGACAAAACTAATTAAATTTAACTGATTTTAATGCATTTACCTAAATTTATTTGTTTTCTTACTCTAGGTACAATAAATGAACCATTTTATCCACTATGTTGGACAGAAATATTCTTTATTTTGACAATAAACTAGTTATAAACCACAAACAGGTCACAAACAATAGAATATTTTGTATTACTTACTGCTGCCTAGCTACCAACTGCTTTACTGAAATGCTACACAACAAAGCATTTCAGCACTGCCATGAACTAAAATTAGACTTTTAATTCTACTGGTTCTTTAGGCTTAGGGCAGGCTTTACAGTAAAAGTGTAATTTTCTGAAGTGGCAAAAAACCCAACCAACTCCATCACATGATCACAAGAAAAAGGCTTGTAACAAAATATTTACACAGTTTATTATTTTCTCTTATGTTATATTTTGTTAAAACAGTTATATTTTGTGTTAATTTACAAATGTCTGTAATATAATTTATAAGAGAACTATTTTATTAATTTATATTGTATTATTGCATCTGAATGTGGTGAACCCCAAGCCACAAGGGCTAATATTTTGTCATTCTCTGTCAAATACAATCAATGTTCCCCTTGCATACCTTTTCAAGATGAAGGATACTTTCTCCCACCTTACTGTCCTCCAGTGTTTCACTGTGTTTCTCCTCATCTGCTTTGTCTGTATTGGCAAACACAGAAGCGACTCTGACCACAGGCAGGGGCACATCTCGTGGGACAAATCTGACGGAGCTCACAGGCATAGTCCACAGTTTAATCTTTTTAAAAGACTTTGTCTTCGCAGAATAGCGCGACTCGCACACGTAAACGTCCTCATCTCTGAAGTTTTCAGGGCACAATTTAAAATATTCCTGCAGATTGAAGGAAAAATATGAAATATTTCAGCAACACCAACATCCCACAGACACACAGTGAACTCCCTCTCGTGGCTTCAGTTTTTTCACTGCTTCTGTCAGAAGCCTCTTTGCCGAGTTCTCTTCCAGTTTGACGTCCAAGTTTTACTAAGAATAACAACAAACAAGAAATCCCACCCTTGGAGAAGGGGTTAACTCAGTACAGGTTGGCATGTGAGAAGAGTTAGGTTTTATTAATTTACCAATCCAGTGCATCAAAAAATACAAGATCTGCAGCCTGAAATCACAAGATTTCTGTGCTTTGACTTGGAAAAAGGACACATTCACCAAGCCAGGGGTGACCATAAGCACAAATCAACCAGCACAGGGAAACTCCATCACCTGGGTGAACCACTTATGTCAGGAAGCAAAGGAAGATCCAAACAGCTCACAGAAGCAAGTCCTATTTTATTTAGGTATCAGTGGAATGTCTCTATGTTGGAGTGCCTACAGCTCTACAGGAAATAGCAGAAAGCATTACTTGTTTTATAAATTAATCTGAATAGACTCTCACCTTGACAAACATGACCACACATTTGCCTAAAATTTTACTAACAGGAACTTTATTGTAATAATCACTTTTAAAAACTTCTTTCTCCAGGAATTTTCGTGTTGCAAGGTGAAAAGTTTCATTTGGTCGATAAAACCAGCAGCCATAGAGCCATTTCTCTCCTTCAAAATAGAAAACAACAAAAAAAAAAAAGAGAAGGGAGACAGAAAGGAAAAAAAATGTGAGATGACTTTCCCTAGTGCATGAGTCAAGTAAGAACAATTAGCAATTGACTGATTAATCAAATAGCCATGTAGTCATTTATACTAAGAGCAACCTGCTTTTAAACAGGGAAATATTCAACTTTTCAGAAAAGGAAAGCAAGGTTTTTTAAAAAGCCGGCTAATTGTTATTTCTCCAGTAAAACCTATCTCAGAAAAATAAAGAAGAAATTCATTCTTATTTATAGATTTTGACTTTCAGACCTTGACTTCCACACAATAATCACCTGATTATTTAAAGAATCTCAAGTAATTGTTTTTAAGTTTTTTAAGAAATATTTCTTTCATTTTATGCTGTGATAAATTACATGATGACAACTAAAATCAATAAAAATTATTCATAAAGAAGTTTCAAATATGTACTATTTTTCTAGATCAAAGGAAACCTGTGCCCATCTTTGGTTCAGATTTCTCAGCACAGAAAAACAGCATTCTTGTTCACCTAAATTACAAGGAGTCAATCCCACTCAGAATCCCATTTCTGAGAGGCTTACAATTTAAGGGTAGGCAGGTATGAACACCAAAAAAAGCCCATGCTGTCACAAGAATTTTCTGTTTGTAATATCCTTTAGAAAAAAACAACTCAGAAACAAAAAAAACTCAACACTTCACTGATCCAAGCAGTTCTGCAAATAAAGTAAGTAACATCTACACAAGAAAAAAAAAAGAAATTAAAAGCTTAAAATAATAATAACAAGTTTCACCCTAGTGTTTTCCTGCAGTGAGGATATCCTTACCAGCTGAATCTTCCCACAGCCTCTCAATGCAGACGATGTGAGGCTGCAAGTTGGCCTCTGCAGGCTCCACATACACATAATCCCCCACATGGTACATGCTGTTCTTGAAGCTGCAGTCCTGGCTGTAGGTCCGATGCAAATTTGACAGCCCAGCTGATCCAGAGGAATCTTCACTCTTTTCAGCTTCTTATTTCAAGAAAGGAAAAACAGATGTTAGCAATGTCACATTTCTATATTAGTCAAGATTTTTGATGTCAGTGCCTCACTTTGAGCCTGGAGTAACCAGGCTTTACTGCTGCTGACATCCATGAGGGAAGATGAACCATGTAAGAAAGACGATTCAAGGACAAAATTGCCAACAGTTCTGCCCCTGTCTGTGTAAAGGTGTAACTGGAGCGCTTATTTATTCTTTTAAACATGGTGCACAATGGAGCATGGACAGAAACAGCCAGGAACTGTGAAATAAAGGACCTTGAGAATATACTTCATGCCCTACAAATTAATGTAAGCCCATTCCTCTTCACATCCACAGTAGCCAAAACACAAAAGGCTTATCAAACCTCAGTTCTTTAGCAGTGTCAAAAGCATGATCATAGATAACACTGTCAGTATTTGTCAAAAAGAAAATGACTAAAAGGTCAATGGAAATATTAATTAAGTCTATTATCAGCAGAAGCTTAAGTAAATAATTATTGTTTTATTTTTTAATATTCTTGAAATAAATACTGGTACACCAAGATATTTTGATTAAAGAGTTCACATAGGGTTAATATCTACCTACGTCTCTTTCTTAAAAGCCCTCTGGCCTGGCTGATAAGGATCAAAATAAAATAAATCTCTCATAACTTGAAAATAAAAGACGGAGGGACAAGCAGACTATTGAGGTCCTTTCAGCAGGCAAAGCAGAACAACACATCATATGTATGGGTACATTTCTCATTTAGTACATTCAAAATTAATGGAACAAAAGTAGCTACCTCTCTTCTCCTCCTCCCTTTTAAGCTTATCCTCCTCTATTTCTTTGGGCAGCTTTTCCTTCTTTTCCTTTTCTACATCGTTGTGAAGATGCTTGGTGGTGTAGCTGAGAGCAGGTGACAGCAGAATCTCTCCATTTTTACATAGTTCATCTCGAATTTTAATGAAGAACTGCTGAAGTTCTACTGCATCCTCATAGATCTCTGAATCAGTCCTGTACAAAAACATGAGCAACAGGGTAAGAACACAGTTTCTGCAGAGTCAAACAGGAGCCTAAACACACCCATCAATCACCACTCTTTGTGATCCATCGAAAACTTCACTTTGCCAATAGATTTCTGTGCTTACTCATAAGCAGCAGCAGAGGTTAACTTGAATTCATGAAGTACTAAGTGATGCTTCACCTGTTAGTCCACCGTAATCTGCATTACAGCTCACCCAAAACAGGATTTTTGTATACACCAGTCCTGAAATGCTAGGAAATTGAAGGTAACTAGTTGTGACTAAGGCTACTTGTCACTGGACCTCTACAATCTATTAGTTTCTGAAAACCTGAGTAACAACAGTACTATTTAAAAAACTGACTTATTTTAATTATCTATATTCCTCTTAGTAGATGTTTTAAGATTATTTTTACCTCCTGCCCTTCACAGTCAACCTCTCATCTGCACATTCCCAGAAAGGCTACTGAATTCAAGCAAAACTCTACAAGAAGTTGCAAGTGTTCATAGTTTTTTGCACGGTGTTACCATAACTCACCCAAGTGTGATTGCTCCAAAAGAGTAATTCACTATTTGAGCAGTTAGTGAACAGCTCTCTTCATTTTTTCAATTTGAAAGTTAGCAGGAACCTGTTTGTCATAAGGTGTACCTTTGAAAGATTATTGTCAAAATTATCTCTCTGCAGAAAACTAACTTCTTCCTTGTTTTCAAAAGAAAGCAAACATTCCACTGAAGACCTGATAGAGCTTTTGAGATTTAGTTTTCCAAACACCCATATCACAGAAAGCAAACACGTTAAAAAAACTTCAGCCCTTGTCTAACATTAAATGCAAAATTCATTATAAAGGATACCTGAAAAATAAGTGTTTGCTCACCTGTTCATTCTCCGTGCCCTCTCCAGTACCTCAAACATGTTCTCCTGGAACAAGTCCAATCTTCTATAGCGATTATTTTCAACATTTTTTCGGATAATATCAAAAGTCAGAGGAGGTTTATTTGGGAAGTTGGGATCAACAGCAGGAATCTCAGCTAAGGAGTCGCTGTAGCATCTGCCCTCATCATCCTGGTGGCTCATAACAGATACAAAGAGGTTATGGATGAGTTCCTGAATCAGCAAAGTGACATTGGGCACATGAGAATCCTCGTCTCCTTCTATTTCTCTCCGTGTTTCAAGCAAAACTTTGTGGAGGACCAGGGCATCTTTATAAATCAAAGACTCTGGTTCATTGTACGTGCAAGCGTTATTGAACATCATGACAAAGTCCTCCACCATGGAGTCTATATCCTGGTATTTATTTGCCATCATGTGGCTCCTGATCTTTTCCATGTCCACAGGCTTTTTGATGGTGACGTAGTAGTCGGGGAGCTCGGAGCGGGACGGCAGCCGCAGGAAGATCGCGCTCAGCCGCCGCCCGCGCTTGTCCGTGTAGTTCTTCACAGCCTCGTACACCTCGTTCAGCTTCTGCTGCATTGGAGTCATGTACTTGGACTTCTTGGGAGAAATGCCACTTTTCCTACCTAACACGACAAAAATCAAAAAGAAGTTAAAATGACAAAGCCAAGAACTTCACATTTCTTTGTTCATCTCCAGTTTCCATCGGAGAATTGTTCATGGAAGAACCACTTCATGGTATGAGCAGAAGCCTTACAACATGGAGCCCATTCCAGGCTGCAGCTTCCTATCTTTTAATAACTCTATAAAATTTTCTTTAATGTTCTTTTTGCCAAACACAGAATATGTTGCTCCATGCTCCATCTGGCAAAGGCCTCCTCAGGCTTCAGCATGGAAAATGTCTTTTCCTACCAAACATCATTAACAAACTGCTCTAAACTAATTTGGGTATTACAGCTCTTCATGAATTCGTCTCTGCAGCCGTTAAAAATCCTGTCACCACAGAGGTTTTGCTATCACTAATATGAAAATTAAGTATTCAAAATATTATCAGATTCCTTTATGACATGTAATGTAAATTAAGGCCTCCCATGAGATTATCAGGCTGGCTTTTTGATTAACTCAGGATCTCTGTTACTGCACTGCACAGACTCTGCCTGAGAGTTCTCTACACTTGTACTTTACCTAGGAGCTGGATATTTAATTTGCAAGAGGACTGTGTGCAGTTATTTTAAGGTTTTTGTGCAATTTTATGTGTCTCAGTTTGCTCAGTTCTGAACACATATTAAGAGAACATAAGATTTGAGCAGTACCAAGTTTGTAAGAGCAACAGCTCAAGGAACAGATGCAGCAAACTTCACTTCCATGTTTTTCATGGCTTTCAATATTCTGCCAAACTGAGTTCACTTTTTTTTTATCATTTTGTGGAAATCCAAGACATTTAACCAGTGAAATTAAGAGATGTGCTCAATTTGAGAAGCCCCTTACTTGACTGAGCACATAATGCACCATCTAACATTTGGATAACACTATATGACTACATTCTTCCATCCATTCCCAAGTCTTTTTTTCTTCACTCTAAGTTACTTTTCTTAGAAAACACTACATGCAACAACTTATTTCTATTGTATAACAGAAACATGCCATTGCTATCAAGATTTTGAAAATATAATCCTACTTTCCTTGTCAGTGTTAACAACTGTGCAGATCATGTCTATTCTAAAATGAAGATCTGTTTATCCATATTGTGCTGTAAGTGCTGAAATGAGACAAGGCAATGCACAGGGTTGTCTTACTTAGCTTTAGTTTAGGGGATGCAACATCATCATCTTCAGCCAAGGGTCCCAGCTCTTTCCTTTTTTCTTTAAGGATCTTTTCCAGCATATGGGCATCATTGTATACCTATTAATCAGTAAAATAATCAAAATCCAACCAAAACAAGGTTTACTGTGTTTAGACTAATTTAGAACTAGCTCCTAAGAAACATTTAAATGTTAATTTGGAAAAGCTGAAAGCAAAATGGAATATTTTATTTAAGGTGTACATTTGAGAAATAAGCCTTTCTTTTTAACTGACTTGCACAGGTAAGCAGAACTAATGACACCATCTAAATCAGGGAGCTACAAATGTTGAAGAAATTATCCAGTTAAGCTGCATTTCTATTCCAAAGACTACAACATGGCAAGAGCCAGTTGTGTTATCAACTTCCTCATCAAACCTTTCTGCTGAGCAATGAAAGATCCCTTGAACCACTGTGATTCCATACAAGGTACAAAGGACTAGAACAGTCCTGGGGTCTTCAAATCCAATCCTGGTGATGAAGACCTGTGCAGTAGCTGATCAAGCTCCTTATCAGAAACAGCTGGAGGTTTCTTACCACCATACTGTTTTACATCATTCTTGCTGCCTGAGAAACATCACATTATAGACACACCCAAAAAATACTTGTAAATGAAAACCACATTCCTTTCAGACTCATTTTGCTGAGCTAAACAAATCAGGTCTTTTAATCTGATCTCCCACAATCTCCACTTCCATGAAAACAAAGCTGTTTTCCTTCTAAGACAGCCTTTCTCAGAAGTTCTGAGAATTTCTACTTTAGATAAACAATTACAAGAAATAATACATGTGTTAGGTGAAGTGAAACCATCTTAACAGCAGTTTATGTCTGCAAAGCAGCAGAGAGAAGCATGGCTGCTGACCCCAGTGAGTACCTGGGAGCCTTCCTCGTTGTAATGCCTGGCGTTCCGGAACATGAGCTTCATGTCCTCAATCATGGCCTCCTCCGCCACGTACTTGTCATTGCGGATGTTGTGCTCTATCATCTTCAAGTCCATTGGCTCCAAGATAATTTTATAATAGTCTGGATAGTCCTTTTTGGATGGCTTAACCATGAACAGATCACAGAGCCGCCTGCCTGTGCCGGGCTCTCGAGCCTCCAGAACCGCGTTGTACAAGATCTTCATCCGCTGCTTTCGTATGTTCTTTTTACTGTCAGGTAAAGGAGAAGAATAAATGTCAGGGGCTCTTATCCCCACTTCCAACACTAATAACAAAATGGTATTATCCTCTACCATGAAGAAACAACCAGAACCACCTAAACACACACAAGAAGTTCAACATTAAGACAGTGCACTAGTATTTGCAAATGACAACAGCATCATAACCAGGAGTCCGACACAGAAACAGGAAACAACTCTTCAAGATGATTCTTCTCTCATTGACCTTGAGTTCAAGTGTTCTACAAAATTAACCAACTAATGCATTTTTCAAAGTGCAAAAAAGGAGCTCTGAGCACTTTGCAGCTGCAGAGAAAACACACCAGTCAGGATCAGGCATCTGAATCCAAGAGCTCGAGACCCAGAGTGAGCAGGGTAAAAACCTCCCGTCAGTACATTCATGATTACTTCTGGTGAACACAGAATACCAAAGATATGAGCTATTTATCTCAGAGTAATTTTGTATATTCTTCAGTAGCACGCAAGAATATCAAGGATGTAGCAGAAAGAATTGTTTAAATATCTGTCAATTCAAATGAAGCCTGAAGTCAGTAAAGCTCACCAAGAGTGCAAACCCAGGTAGAAAATGGTATATGCTATCCCTATGAATGTTACAGTCATCCTGTGTGCAGCTGCTATGGTTGTCTCAAGAAATCTGACAGCCAAGACACAGCTTATCACAAAATAGTACATGGCTCCCTGCACACATAGTATATGGCCTAAAAGCAAATCAAATAAGAGAGAAGAAAATTTATATCAATAATGTATAGTGTCAGTTCAGATACTGTGGCACTCAGTAATACACTCACTACAAAGCATTTGCTTCCAATCTGCAATCTCCTTAAGAATTGCTCAGGTAGTTATAACTTTGACTATTATATTATCTGCAAAGACAACAACTACCACAAGAACTACCTTCAATTGCAGAATGTGCAAAATATCCTGGTACAACTTACTAGAAACCGAACTGCAACAGATTTCCCATGATGGGGATCTTTTCACCACACATTTAAAATATACCTAATTCAGCATTGTCTCATGCCTCAGATATCTCTCACTGCTTGCTGAGATCAGCAAAGTAACTAATGAAAACTAACAAAGAAAACTCACAATATATGCTCTATATGCTAAACATTACTGCTGTTGGCAAATGTTGGTTAGTTGTTCCCACTAGCAGGTGAGCAGTTTCAGAACACAGACACGCTGCCAAATTCCCCATTTTAATGTGTTTCCAGGTTTTTCTCACTCATTTCAACAGACGTAGGCAAAGCAAAACCAAAGCAGAAATAGAAAAAGGCCTGCCAATCCTCAAGATTCGTGTCATGCATCTGATACATAAAAGGGGACTTTCAAACAGCTTTCTTCTGGGTAACTGTTATTTTCCCAATAGGATGAATTTTGCATAGGTTATTGGTTTCCTTTCCCAGCAACATATTGGAATTCCTCTCATTGCTTCATGTCTGTGATCAGCAGCACTTATGATCTTCTTTTCCTTGCTATCATTCAGCAAGTGAATGGATAACAAGTATCAAACTGACAACATCAAAAGCATTTTCAGGTGCTCTTCAGGCGTCATTCTGATCCCCCTTGCCTATGAACATGGGAAATCCCTTGTTCCCTTTCCTGTTTTACTGTTCTTAGATGACAGGGCCTGGCAGATTTTTCCCTTTTAAGCATTTCAGTATTGTCTGGCACAAAGTGATCAAAAGCAACATTGGGTTAAAAGGACACTGATGACAATTTGACTTGCTTGATTAAGTTAGTACTTCTTTTTGAATTCTGAAGATCACAAAGCTAGCAATTTTTGCAATTTGTTCCTTCTTGATTACTTGGTTCTGTGGTCTGCCTTTCATTTCCATTACATTTCTTTTTCCCAGCATCCCTAGACTGCACCACCTCCTAAATCCACGTTCATATTTTCTCTCTGAAGATTTTTAATGAGTGTACACTTTTGCACTTATTAGATTGTTCTTCTGTGACCTTTGATTGCTGGTGACTCCATTCCCTTCCTCCCCCCACAACTGTTGCTCCTTTGGCAAAACAAGAAATTATCCAGGAAGCCAGTCTTCATAAGCAACACCGAAGAAAGATTAATTGCAAATTTACACTGGCTGTTGCTACCACTACAATCACTTTATCAAGGCAGACTAGAGAAACTCCCTCTTACTGGAGTGAAATGCATAACTAGTATTAATTACAAAAGAGCTATCACCATAAAGAATACCTCCCATAAGCCATCATTATGCTCAATGGAAGAGTCTATCGCAAATCACTGGGAATTTGGTTTATGTGACAGGGCCCTAAGTAATCAACCTCTTATAATCAGTTTATTTATTTGTCAGGCTGAAAAAAAACAAGTCCCCCCTAAAAATCCTGAAATCCACTATCAAAATCTCCTAATTCAGTGCAATTACAGTGCCTATTTTATTTACTGATGTTGACAGCTGCCAACTAATAGACCAAAACAGAGAAATAATAGTCAGCAAATACTTTTGAATTAATTAGAATCAACACTTAATGATGTATCAGAATTACAACTCCTTACACAAATGCTAAAAAACATGGTTTAATACTCTCTTCAACAAAAAGAGATGCAGCAATATTATGGCCTGCAGGAACTACAGAAGCAGATACCTTTTCCTTTTTGAGCTTCCAGTATCAGATGTAGCAGAAGAAATCATGCTGTCCCCATCCTCAATGTCATCTCTCCTAGCAAGCTCCTTCTTCTTTGCCTGAAAAAAACCCAAAATCCTGAAGCCAAACTCACTGCTGGACACTTCCAGAACAGAATTAAAGAGCAGTATAGTTCTTTCTAACTGACAGAACTTCTGAGAAACCAATTTGAAAACAATCCATTTCCAACTACAACACTTAGCTGGAACCCTTAATGAAATCTGAAAGGTTTTAGCCTTATTCAATTACATGCAAACTCTAAAAAAACCCTGCATCATCAATTTTTTCGCAATTTAATTAGGTTAGGGGTCACAGTAAGGAATAAAGTGACCAAAAGAAATCACAGAAGGCAGCAGGTGTGCTGAGGAAAAATCACTTCATGATGCTCTCCATTCCCATACTTCCCCCTAAGCAAGAAAATACTTCTGCAAATACATGTCTAGTTACAAATTATTTTGGAAAAATATCCATTAGGGAAATAAATTTGCATATGAAGTTATATCCTTTTGCTTGTTCTCCTTTACATACTTGCATAACCTGCTGCATTTTCAGCACTCTTTTATAGATGGCAGAATTGGGGACATTGTAGCGCTTGGCATTTTCAAACATCAAATTCAGATCAGCCTCCAACTGATCTAAAGTTTCATACTCGTGGTTCTTCAGCTTGGTTCTGCAAAAGAGAATTACCAGTCAGCTATTTCACTAGTTACACAGTGCAAAACATTTCTTTAATATCCTCATTTGCATGATAAATCAATAGTCAAAGAGCTCTAACTACAGCAATGGGATTTACTTTTTGATTCTCTAGTAACATCTTCCACTTGTAACTGTATCAGGGAAACACTTCTCCTCAAAGAATGGTTTCAGTAGTTTTGGAAGTTGTGGAGACTGAAGTCCTGTTTTCATGCTTGGGTGAGATGGTACAGGTAAGGCAGCAGCACAGCCTGCTGAGACTGCTGCAGTGCCCCTGAGCCCTGACCTCAGGCCAAGCCAGCTCTGCACAGTCCCAAACGCTGCCTTCCCTCCATCAATTCCACTCATCTTCAGTGAGAGCCAAAAGCACACAGCATCTCTTATGTTAAACCCTCCAATTTGTGCCTTCTCTTAAAAAAACACCTGGTTGTTGATTGGTGATACATGCAAAGTGCACTTCACATGAAAACAGTTACAAGAGGAGTAACAACAATGTCATTTTCCATATGCTAAGCACATGAATCAACATGAGTTAACGCTTAACTTAATGCTTTTTATTGCACAATGCTGAAACTTCTAGCCAACTTTTTTAAACCTTCTATTACTTCATTACACACAGCAGACAATAATATTAATCTGCAGCAACACAAGCCCCAAAGCCTGTCACAGCTGCCACACGGCTTCGTCACCCTCCTGCCTGGCACATTTGCCAGTCATACACTACCTTGAAACCCAGTCTGGTTTCTGCAGCACCTGGCTGAATGTGTCCCTGCTTGATGGAGCATTATCACTACCACAAAATAAATTTAATATAAAACCTTTCAGGCCCAAACTTGCTCCTACCACCATTTGCTTATCCACTACCCAACAATCAAGGTGCAGGCCATCTGAATTTACATTCACAGCCATGTTCATCAAAAGCCTGAAGTGAAAGTAAAAACCCAGACTTAGACTGAATAGCTTAGAAAGTGACAGCTTCCAGCCAGGGATGAGAGGAATGAAAAATGTACAGGTACAGAAGTGATCCTGTTCCAGCCTGCAAAGAACCTCCTCTCCTACCATTCTCTGTTCATGCTGTCAGAAAACAATAGGATGATTAATTAGGTAGGTTATTTACATAATTACTTTGAACAGATTTAATTACACTCAAATGCAGCAGAACTCAAGCCTCATGACTTCTCTGGATTTAGAGTATAAAGTGCAGCTTCACAATAAACTTTTAACAAGCCATCTCACCAATCTTGGGAAGAAAGGATTTTATAAACATGAGTTTATTTCACAAAATGAGGCTGAAACGAACCAAACCCATGGCTCTACAGAAAGCCACTGCTTGCATAACACAAATTATATACTAGAAACTAAGATAAATTTCTGTGAAAATTATTGACAGGGATATAACTGTACCTGAAAGCATAAGTAAAAACTAGAAAGAATTTCCTTTTAAACAAAATTACCTTTGGAAAATGAGGAAAAAAAAAAAAGTCTAAAAGGAAGGCTACAGTTTCATAAGACCACTAAGCCTAAAACAACACATTTAGTTTGGTTGAAAACAGAATATTAATTAAAAGAATACTGTAACTTGGCACTCAACTCCCTAAAATGTCTACTGCAAACTCATCAGTCCTTCCAGGTGGACTATCTGCAAGGACTGAAGGTGAGACATACGCTTTCCATAGAACAAAAAAAATCCATTTATTAGACAAACATTTAGTCTAAAATTGTCCTACTGAAAATATTCAAACACCAGGATAAGACCAGTTTTTCAACTTATTTTCTTTTATTCGTAAATTGTGAAGTGCTAGTCCTGCCTCTTCAGGGAAAAACAACTCACTAACAGAGAATGAGTGAGAGTAAGAGATGCATTTGACAAATGTCCTATTGAAGATGAGAATCTTCTTATAAAGTACATTGGAAACCTTCTTTACTTGAACCTGTGATTTTATAAAGGTCTTACATACAACACACAATGAAAGTACTTGCTAAGGTAGGAAAACTGCTTACATGAACAGAAGAGTTCAAAAATAAGCAATATTCACCAAATAATAAGTTGTATTAAGCTACAAAAGGAATGAAAGAACTCCTAAATCTCAGATAAAGTGAAAATTTACAATGTATTCAAAACATTAGACACCTCATTTTCTCTTCCCAATTGACTCATTCATAAATCAAGGAAACAAAAACACAGAAATTCTCCATAAACCCTTCAAACTTTTCCCCAGGCACCAGTCTCTAATACTTCAAAACTACTTCCGCTCTTTGATTTGCCATATTGCTAAAACTGCTTAAGTTATATGACAAAATATGCTTGACCAGGTGATGACATTTACTACAAGCTCCACTCAAACCATTAATAACTAATCCAAAACCACCAAGAGCCACCACAAAATTCAAGAGCACCTCAACAAATCACATAAATGCAACATTTAGATTCTTGCGTCACAGAGCATTGTCCAAAAAGGGTCACACTTGTAAGAAAAATTCATTTGAATTCACCAAAAAGCAGCTATCACACAACCCCAAGTATGTTTTACACCAGATTCCTGCACATTTTTAAACCTCAGCTGCAATGCCAGGAGCACAAGACACCAGGGTGTGTCATGAAAATACCAATTTCAGTGCCTGTACTCCCACAGGTGTTTCAGAGAGAGATGCTGCCAGGGAATTCCCTGGCACACCTTCCTCCTCTGGTATAAAAAAGCCTGACCCACTTGCCTTGGGGATCATACTTCTCAACACTGTAAAATTTTATAAGGAACAGTGTTCTTGTAAGCCTGCCAGGATCTAGCACTTATGCACTTGGTAACTGAACATTCTCCTGCATCATTTCCTGACTGTTCCTGCGGTTATTTGTAATTAACAGAATTAATGCTCTTCCCCAGCAATATCAACTTTGCATTAGGCACTTTTATCACATGTCAGTCATAGCCTTGACAGCATCATGCATTTCTTTTTAAATAGGATTTTCTTGTTCTCCAGCTCTAAGCTTTTCCCCCTTTGAGGCAGGGAATTCTCATCAATGTGCTGAACATCTGGTGGGAGGGAAATGAAGGGGCAGCCAGGGTGATCTCAGCTGTGCCCACTGACAGAGCAAGAAGTGAGAGGAGCAAATGGAAATAGGAAATTTCAGCTGAACACAAATTTTTTTTACTGTGAGGGTGGTCAAACACTGGCACTGGTTGCCCTGGGAGGATGTGGAATCTCCATCTGTGGAGATCACCTAAACCTGACTGGACACAGTCCTGGACACAAGGCTTGGGTGACCCTGCCATAGCCAGGGCTTGGGCAGGATGGTTTTCCTTCCAGCCTCAGCTGTTCTGTGATTCTGTGAACAGCAAGCCAGGAGAAAATTAGGAGACAACTAAAAGCCATCAGCATGATTACCTCCCACACCCTGGAAAAGCTCAGGATCAGCACTCAGCTCAAATGACTGAGGCTCATAATGTTCTAAGTGACTGAGAGGCTGGGACAGGTAAAATCTCATTAAACCAAAACACACTCACACACTCCCTCTGGAAATCATATATTATTTTAAAGACTCTTCCTGCATTTAACACACACAAGCCCCCCTGAAATACATGACTAGCTGTAAAATTTGCAACAGCCACACATTTCACAGTTCACTCTGGCAGGACAGCTGAGGCAGCCAGATGCCAGAGCCAAACAGACATGAAACAGATATGGCAGGCTTCCCTCCACCTCCTTCAGCTTTTCACTGGGATACCAAACTTTTCTGTTCCCATCTGGGAAGAGAAGATATGCTCTATTTATGTACATCTCAAAAAAATCCCCAAACACCAAAAAAACCACCACCACAAGAAAAGAAGGAAAAAATCCCCACAGAAAACCAAACACCCAAAATCCCAGACAATCTTCACCCCTAATAAGTGGCAGTTTTGAATACCTAAAGACATATTAGCAATATCAGCAAAGTCATGATGCTTCAATTTTCCCTAAAGCAATCAATTAAGTGTACATATACATGACTTCAAGGCTTTTCAGGTATAGTAAGAAGTGAAGATTATATGGTCATTTAAAAGGCAGCTGAATTTCAGAATTTGCACAAAGGTAGACTTCTACAAACATTGTACTTTAATTTGTGAGCCTCAAACAATACTTCTGAAAAGCCTGGCTGTTCCTTTTTATATTTTCTAAGCCCCCAGGCAGTAAGTCAAGTTACTTTTTTCTACAGTTCTTCATATACTTGTATGGAATTTCTGTGCTGCTCACACAGCCAGATGCAACCTGCCTACGCTGTAAGGAAAGCAGAAATGCAGCTGCCTCTCTGTGGCAAGTTATTTGTTCTATAACTGATATCAAGGGTATTTTTAATGGAAAATCTCTCCCAAACAAATCTGTTTATACATAATTTGAGCCAATACTTTTAGGTACATTCAGGCACAAACTGTCAATGATTCTTCGCAATTTCACTGTTTTTTTTCATCTGAGTACATTTTGTGCTTTGTTCAAGGAAAGACAGTTTCTTTGCCACTATTATAGCTGTACTAAGACATAAGATAAATTGCTTTAAGGCCACTGATGGAAAGATAACCAGTGTGTCAGCTTTTTTCCCCCAGCACATGCAAAACACCCACTGACAAGACAAAAAAACTAAAAAGCACCTTTGTTAGTTTCTGATTTAACAAAGACACTGCTCATTCAACAACTCCATCAAGCCTGACAGATTGTATTATGGTATAACTAAAATGTACAGACCTGTGCATCAGATGGATTACAAAGGGATGAGCAGTGGGAAGGTCCAGTGCTCCCTCACTGAAGCTGAAGGACTGGTACTCCCAGGGTGTGGCTCAGGCAGGGCCTGAAGCCCCAGTGGCCACTGGGCAGGAGGCCTGCACAGCACCATTAAAGCCTATTAATGCTCCCAGCACCCTGCTCACACCCATCATATACTGGTTTATCTTGAGCCACTAAAGAAAGGCACTGCTCACTTCACTCAGGTCTTTAATCTGACAACTGCACTCTGGCAGCTCACGGGCCTTTCATGGCTCACAAGTTTTAAGTGGTGAACTGCTGGCTTCAGTCCAGACCAGCTACATCATCATGAAAATAATTATTCTCCGTAGTTACACGGTGACCTAGACAGGAGGACTGTAATTGCAACCATCTTCCTACAATTCACACTGCAGACCATTAACTTAAAAAACATGGCAGTAAGAAGCAATCAAGCCATCACCGTCAGGGAAAAAGAAAAATGGGGAGATCTGCAAAAACTTTCATCTCTCCTGCACACCTAGCCTTCAGAATTATTCACATGGCAATTTGCAGACACATTACAAATGAAATTCAATGAAAAATAAATCAAACAGTAGCCATGTATCACAGATGATCTAAAGACTGAGGCAGACTGAGATGAAGTGAGCAGCAGTCAGATGTAGAGGAGAGACGGTGCAAACACTGCATTAGGTACCAACTTGACCATAAGAGAAGATTCTGGGAATAAATAAACCCTTGAATAGTTTCACACCAGATGTAGCTTGCATTCTGTTTTCTTACCTGATCTGCTGCAATGAAATGGGAGTTTTAATCTGCTGATAATAATCAGGATACTTTTTCTTGGAGGGCAAGTGGAAAAAGGGTTCAGAGATGAGCTGGCCCTGGTTATTACGGCAACTTCTAACAGTGTCATAAAGCTGGTAAAGAGGATTAGAGGTGTCCATGAAGGAGGTAATGCTCTCAGCTTCAGACTCCCCCTCTTCATAACGAGCAGCAGCTGCACAGAGAGAAAAGAGAAACAGGAAACTCAGCAGGACAACTCAGAGTGGGCTTTTTGGTGGATAAAGGTCTAAAGCAGAAGAAAAGACAACCCCTCTCTGGCAGTCAGATTCACACCTTAGAAAATGACAACACATATCTAATGAGCCTCAAGCTGCCAAGAAAAAAAAAAAAAGCCCTTTACTGCAATCCTTTAGGCAATATTAATCACAGCTCAATACAAAATTGTGAAGCTTAGCAGAAAAATTGACACTAAAGCCAGATGATGTCCCTATAATATATACAGCAAATGAAGAAGAAAGAAATGTTTTACAGTGATTATGTAACAAGCCTGAAAAATTTATAGTAAATATTTAAAAATTTCATAGCAAACTTTTCTAGTTATCTTGTTTCTGGATTAGGATGAATGAAAGAAAAGCTATGAAGAGCTAACACTTACTGCAAATAAAATTAGGAGAAACATTACATGAACAACAGAAATATAACCGGAATGAGAAAACACTGGTACTAGAAACACAGGATGGGAAGCAATAAATGACCAATCCTTCTACACTTCTAAGTACCACAAACAGTGCAATTTGTACCTTGCAGACAGATATAACATAAAATCAACACGGATTTGCACATGCTAGAGTTAAACTATTCACCCCTTTTCCCCTCTGAGTCTGAAGGACAGCCTGGCACATGACATACTGAATAACTCAGCTACACAAAACACAGTTCTCTAATGCCAGGTTTCCAACTGCATTTCCATTATTACTCAGAGGAGGCTGGCACAGCTTCAAGCTCTCTATCCACGTTCAGTAAAGTCATACAGAAATGGTGACAGAGCCAGGGGACGCTCAGACTGTAACAACACAGTGCTGCCATTGCTCCTCTACAACCTGACACCAGATCTATGCCAGTGTGTGGGACCCACCTGGGTCAGAGGCAAAGCTAAAACACAACCAGGCATCAGCAGATGTGCAAATATGCAATGAAGATGTTCATTACTGATTTGGGGAGACATAAAATTATCCTAATAATGCCAATCAGCATCACTAATGACCCAGCATCTGCTCCACCACAGCCAGCAAAGTAGGAGCTGGACAGAATGCCTCAGGTAGAAACAAACCACTGGTACTATCAGTGAAATCAGGTAAAGTTTCAAAAATATCTTATGCTTTACTTTACTCTAACAGTTTGGTCAGTTTACTCAAATTGTTCAGTTCTGAGTGCTCCACCAAAAAGTAAGAAACAAACAGAAAAAGCAGAATAACTTGTTTCTATGAAAGAGAAAACATAAAAGGACTAGTCAAGGATTTGCTGTTCTCTGCTATGTGTGAGGCAGCAACAAAACAGTTCAATACCCTAAATAAGAAATGTACTTTCTTTGTGCTGAAAGTAGAATACAAGGCATTCCCTAAAAAGGAATCTAGATAAATTAGATATTAATTGGTAATTTAAATTAAAAACTGGTGATTTAATTTTAAAATGTACCAAAATGCAAGTATTTATGTATTACTAAGTATTATTATGTATTATTAAGTTTTACTGTATTTTATATTTACATAATATACAGCTATAAACATTTTTTTATAACAGCATATTCTTTAAAAGTGATGTGTAAGCATCATATATTCTTACATATCTAGAAAATTATACTGATCTCCTAGTATGAAACCTGCTATATTAAGAGGCAAAGAAGAATATTATTGAGACTAGAAGACAGAAAAATTCTTATTTTTGCAATAATATTATTTTTACTCTTATAGAGCAAACAATCTGATGCAAGACTGTACATTCTTGTATGTGCAGTAGCACCAGGTCCCATATCCCCAGAGAGCACTGGCAGAGGAGAGGGACAGGCAGTTATTGCCCTTTTCTGCTGCTGTTACCAAAAGTACAGTTTGCAGATACCACAAAAAAACCCACTGTCTCCTTTGTGGTCCTAAAGCACCCAAACAACAATGAATGCTCAATGTCCAACTGAAGATGGTTGCCAGTAAAACCAAAAGCAGCATCCAGTCTTAAACCGTGTCTAAATGATACAGTAAAAACAAAACACCCTTGTTTACAAAATTAAATACATGCAAGTAATACCTAATGATCACCTATGCCTGTCTCTATAGATTTATAATGAGAAGCAAGGGAGCTGCTGAAGCTGCTCACATCCTTTTGCACCAGAGCTGGAAATGTTCTACAAGCTCCATCACACCAAAACACCATCTGCAGCTGTCAGGATAAACTCTCAGTTGGAAACTGATATTGTTCATTGCTTAGGCAACAGCAACAACCAAAGAAGCTCATACAGATTCAGTTCTCTGTTTCAAGAAGGAGAGAGTTCTATTAATGTTCAGTCATGCAGCCCTGTTCTCATTTATTTTAACAAGTGTTAGAGGAATGAAAAAAAAGAGCAGAGCAATTAATAAAAATATCACTTGGTTTAGAGAAAAATCCTTGTCACCCAAAGACTGAGAGCATCGGGCTGTCCAAGTAGTACACTGGAAGGACAGAAAATCTTAGGGGGTGACAGGTCTGCCAAAAAAAAAATAACATTGCCTCTTAGATGAATGCAATAAAGATAGGAGAGCTTCAAGGCAAAGGTCTCACACACAGGGAGAGATCCCATGAAAATTAGTCATGTCCATAGCAAAGGAGGCACCTGAAAGCGGTTCGTTAAGTGGCAAGAGTTTAAATCACTAAAACACAAAAAGCCACATGCTTTTACAGCATTGCAATTTGGGAAAAATAACAGTTAAGAAATAAGCAAAACCCAACTAGTAAATACTCCCCACACCTCCCAGAAAATAGCTGCTCTGAAGCAATAACCAAACTCTGAGCTAACTAGAAAACAAAATGCTTTTGCTTACAAAGCAAGAGCTAAAATCCAGAAGATTCTACATACCCATCTACTAGAAAACTGAGGGAAGCACAGTCCAATTACCAGGTAAGAAATAAATGTTCCAATAATACATACAGAACAGATGCATCTCTCAACATCAATGAAGAAATAATGTAAACAAAAAAATTAAATGAAGAAACAATTTCAGCACTACCAATCTCTTGCGCTGCATGGAGCACCCAATGTCTTCTCCAGTATCTCCTCTGCTGTTCCATTTTAGAAGGAATACAACCAAGCAACAGCTCTCTAAAGCTTGGGTAAGTATACTTGGAAACACACAGAAAATTCAAAGTATGCCAACAAGTTTGGCCTACCCTATGTCACTAGCTGTAAGATTCAAAGGAATTAGACACTGAGTGCAAAATTTTTTAAAATAAATGTATCTGAGTTTATCAGGAGCTCTAAATATTTGCTCATTGTGAATATCTTAATGAAAGGAATTAGAGAAACTGCATTTCAGTTCCTACCAGCCAAAGCTGCATCCTCATCGCTTTCTGATCCATATTGCAATGCCATGGTTATTGCTGATAAACGATCCCCTTGGGCTGATCTTTTGTTACTATGAAAGAGAAAAAGTAATGAAATTTTAAAAATTAAAAAAAAAAGAAAAAAAGAAAAAAAAGGAGAGGGTTATGACATTAACCATTAACAGTCACCCAGAGTGTGTGAGCAAATAAGTGAGGCTCATGACTCCATAAAGCAGGAACACAGATGGGACTAAAAGCTGAAGCCTTTAACAGGAGAAATTCTTACCAAGCCATGAGTCTGCATCTATTTTATGAGCTGGTCCATCCAACAGAGTCAGAAAACTGAGCTCAGCCTACTACCCTCTCTCATATTTTGTACCCCTGAATATTTGATTAATTGCAAGAGAAAGGAAATCATAAGAAGTCTCTCCCAATTAATACCTTTGTCATTTGATCCTGCTTTATTGGGATTTGTCTACAGGAAGGAATTCAACACACTAAAAGCTGTATATTCTATCTCCTCCCATTCCCTCACCCCCACCTTTGGCATTTTCAGCACCCACAATGCCTGCACATGAAGCAGCCTCCTATGCTTCTTAGGTGGAGTAAACTGGCATCCACACTGGCTATGGTCTCACCAAGACTTCTTCAGCATCCCTCTCTTTCATCCCAAACCTGGGACACAGTATTTCATACCATACTATATGAGCTATGCCTGACATTCTCTGCCTTTTTATAAGATCAGCTCTTCAGGCACCTCCAGAAATGGGCTCAGCCTTGTCCTACAGAAGCCAAGTGAACACTGGGAAAAAACAGATGGGCTGAGTGCATGCCTGGGCTCTACACTTTCCTATGCATCCTTTCCTGCATTTTGATACAAATGCACAGATATAATTTCCTTAGTCTGTGGGCTATCCCTCTAAAACATCCATTGAATTCTTTTAGTCCATGGCTTTGGGCTCCATCTGTCCCTGCAGTCCTCCAAGGCAGCAGTGCTGGTGTGTGGTGCTGGGCTGTTGCCTGAAGAAGCTGCTTCTTGTTCTGTCCTTGCTGTGTTTTGCCAAACTCTTTTCACCAAAAAACTTTCATTCACCCGGGTCATTTTTATCGCAAGACCAGAGTGTGCAAGTCCACATCTGCATCATGTGCACATCCATTTGTAGCACCTCTTCCCTGATGGCCTGAGGTGCCACGGGCCCCTGGAGCTGTAATTCACATTCCCACTGCCAGTACAGATCCACTTGAGCCACTCCAGCCTCAGCATCCTGACCCAGCCCTGGCTGCTCTGCTGCTGTTCAGTGGCCCAGCTCTTGGGTCCACGAGCACCTACACGATGCATTTTCACAACCAGGTTCTCCACCTGAGCAGCACCATCCAGCCACAGCTGAGCAGCCCAGCTGGCTTTATCCCTGTGCCACCAGTGTCAGCTGCTATGGCCACCATCCATCAGCCGGTATGAAGGACTGCACACACTTCTCACTCAGCAATAACTACAGTATCAGTGTGTTATCAGCATTAATCTCATCCTAATCCAAAGCCCAGCACCACAGCAGGTATGAGGGAGAAAATCAAACAAAATTTAGCATTTCAATATGATGAAGACCCCAGCTTTTCTTCCAAGGGCACAATTTACTTACCGATAATATTTGTTAGAAGAATTTCTCTCATCCCCAACACTGCCTTTACCCTGTGAGGAAGGACCTGTCAGCTTGGAAGCAGCCAAATTTGATGCAGTCCTTAAGGCAGGAGAGGCAAGCCAAGGAAAGGGGGAGGAAAAAAAACAGGCCCACCTTAAACCCATGAAAAGATGCAGCAAGAAAAAAGCTTTTTACAGAATCACTTTGATAGATCAGCCAAAAGGTTCAGAGACAGACATTTGCAAGCCTAAAGGTAAGTAATACTGAGATCCTTCCAGTGCTCCAGCATTTATGTGGATTTTGTTTATAAAGTCAGAGGAAAGTAATGTTTAGCTCGAGCATTGATACACAGCTCAGTCTAAACAGCAGTGAAAGCAGCCAACAAAATGTTCTTTATTATCCAGATAAAGCCAATCATACAGGTCCAGTCATGTTTTATCAACGCTTGAAGTCACTGTCAAGTTGGTTGACAGTGCATGGTATCAAGCAATTCAATTTTGCCACTTCAAGGGAGGACAGTTAAATGCACCCACAAAGAGCAGTTTAGTATGGCAAAGGAGACAATGAGCTCTGCAATAAAAAACACCATTTTTAACACAGAGGCAACATATAAAGCTTAGGTTAGTAGCATTGTGGTGATTTGAGTTTGAGCCTTTAATGACAAACAACAGATGTAAATTCAGAAGAAAAATATAGATAATGCACTTGAAGTGAACTTATGAGGGAATTTTACCCAAATCAGCAATAGGTAAAGGAGAACTCCCCTCTAAGACAATTAAACATTCAGGAATTTAAATAAAAATGATTCTGTGAAGCAGAGGCTTGAGAAAGAAATAGAAAAAAAGAATAATGGTTCAATAGAAAAAGCAACCCGTGAAATACACAATAGCAGGTGAAAGCTTTGGTTTTCATGACACTTCTCTTATCCCAGGTTTTTTTGCATTAAGCCAGATATTATTGTAGCCTGCTTCAGGCATTATTTTTTCCCCCAAGTCAGAGAAACAAAGAAGGGACCTGTCAATGATTCTGATAGATTACTTCAGGACTTGAAGGTCTGTTGAGAACACAATACACAAGAACATCTAGAATAAGGCAGCTGAGAAGTAGAAATGGGTTGGCAGTGCAAGAGAGGAATTCAGCTAACAAATATCAGTGTGATTTATCTGTCATCCCTTCTTACACATCAGCTTTATTTTAAAGAAAAACCTTTGAGCCTCAGAAATAAATATCACACACACCCTGACATCCTGAGCCTCATCAATGGCCAACACAGCAAGAAAAATAAAATACAAACACAATTTAAATAGAAAACCTCTATGCCTCTGTGTAATTCTAGTTACTGCAAAGCAAACAAATGCATATTCAGTGTCTGTAGAATCAAAGTCTTCTGCACATACTTTAAAGAAGGAAAATTATTCACCTATGTGTCAGGAATTACTCCTTAGAGAGTATTTCTGCTTTTTATTTTTATATGCTTCAACAATGATTCACCCAGCCATGGGATGGATGCTGATACTGAACAAACCAACCAGAAAAACTACTTCTCAAAACACCAAGTAGTAAAAATCAATCAGGAGACTTCCACTTCTTTCACACAATACTCCTAGGCCGCACTTTTAATACTGACACCATATACACAGAAAAAATTAAACTACCTTTCAGTTAAGTAAGGCAGTGACAGTGTTTCCAGTTGTAGCATACAAACCTTTGCAGGAAATTACATCAGTGGCATTCCCAACACCAAATACCAGTAAACAGCCCTAATATATAAAGAGATTCCACCTTAGAAGAGTTTCCCAACTCCTTGCACGGCTTTCAGGACATTGCTTAATTTTTTGGGGGGACAAATTACTTAGCTCACTTTGGCAAATAATATCTAAACTTACTTTTGAGTGTTACTCATAAGTAAAGTGTATATATGAGAACTAACTTAATTGCATTTCAGTTAAGAAACATTTATAATGACTGCATCACTTCTCTGTACACTGTGAATTTTCACAGGAAGAAAACGCTGTTTCCTAAGTAAAATTGTCCCATGAAACAAATAGAGCTATCAACTCTCATCAAGTGTTTTTATACCTGCATATTCAGGATCAAATCTCAGCTTCACTGATTAATGAATCCAGATCTGCAGGTTCCTGTGCCCCTTCTCATAGCTAAAACTGCTTTTCAGTCTCGAGTGGACTTCCCTCTACGTATCTTTTGCCCAAGGTTCTATTCCTGTGTTTCTGTCCCCATCTAACTGTGAGCCCTTTGATTTCAGTTCCTAACAAAGTCCAAGAATATCGAGCACTTTTCAATAAAACAAAGCACTTTTTTCCTCACTACTCATTTTCTGTTATTAACTTATAAACACGTGATGGAAGTTGGCCAGAACTTATTAAAGCACTTACACTATTTTTCACAATCAATTTTACATCACAAAAATATTTCACACAGAAGAATTTCAATGAAGAAAGCTTTCTTTCAAAAACTACTTTAACCAATGTACAACATCTAAAACAACACTAATCTAAGTCTTCAAGCCATCATTTCCCACTATACTCTCCACAGCACAATTAAGGGAATGTCAATAGAGGTTTTTATGTGAGATTATAGAAAGAACTCTATTTGCAGTACCTGATTCGGAGACTTGACTTGGCCAACTCACTGTGTTCAATCTCAGCTTTTTTCATATTAAATATCTTTTTAATCGCATTTGCATCCTGTCAATTGAAAGATTTTTTTTTTGTTTAATGTTGAAAGTGAATAATATTGTAATCAGATATATCCAGCTATCTAAAACAGAAATTAAGGTGTTTTTACATTTTGACATAAAACAATTTTGCATGAGAAATGAAGCATGGAACAAAGTCTGCCTGAAATACTCCCACACAGTATTTTTACAGTGGCCTGAAAAAACTGAATAGAAGACCTGAGCAGCTTCAAGCTCATTTTTTTTCATTTTTGTACCCCAATTCTACTAAAAGCAATATAAAAAAAAAAACTACTAAAAGCAATATAAAAAAAAAAAAACCACTAAAAGCTATTAAAAAAAATGCAGAGTCTTGAGAGCTTTATGCTCAAGACTTATTCAAGGATCAACCAGTACAGAAAGCAGTCAAGAAAATCTGAACTCAAATCACACTATGAACAGCTGAAACTAACCTTGAAGGCATTCTTTGCCAGAAGATCTATGTCCTTGGCCATGGCATGAATGCTTTTATAAGTTCCATTCTATACAACAAGAAGCAGAACTGGTTAAAGTGGCAACCTTCAGACAGCATGAGAGCTAAGCCAATAGTGAAAAGCAAAGGAATTCATAATCAATAAAGGGAATGTTCATAGAAGAACAACTTATTTGTAAAGACAACAGATAAGTCTCTGGAAAAAGTAATCAGACAAAGACAGTAACATACATATATGCTAAGTCTTTATAAAGCTCGTGAATACTAAGATTGAAAAAAACACTTAACAGATCATACAGCCTTCATTTTGAAGAGTTCTGACAAAATGCTGTCTTAACTTTATTCTCTAGTTCAATTAGTCTGTGTCCCATCCCTCCCTACTATACAAAATGCTAGAATTACAGAACAGTATTTGAAATTACTGGAGAAGTAAGATGAAAAATGCATCAGTACAAAACATCTATTTATAGCACTAGAACAGAAGTAGGTGATGATAATGCACAACCAAGCCTCAGTACTCCAATGTTTTACATGAGCAGCACTTGTCATGGAACTGCTTTAAGCCATTAAACATCAAGGAACCTGAGATATTCTGGCTCAAAGCCAGCACTCCACAGCTCACAATGCTTGATCTTCCACACAGCTACTTCTGCAGCACTAACCCAGCACAGAACATTGAATCACCACAGTGTGCAGGTTTTTTAATAGCAAGGGAAAACACACTGCCTGTCCTGCCACCACAAATCCTGACTTCTAACAATTCTGGAATGCTTAGTGTTAAAAAAGGCTGTACCCTGACACATTAATGTGTTCATACCTGTATCCTTTGGGCAATAGTTTTAAGATCTATGGGTTCCTTTATTATTGCATAATAATCTGGATATTGCTGGAAAACAGAAATAATTTATGTATTACTATAAACAGTCACAAAGCTTTTGTTCTAACAGCTCACAGAATGAGCCTTAGATGAACTGAAGATAAGAACAGTGTAAGCCTCAAAATATGAGATATTTTATCTCTTATTTATGTATCATATGTAAAAGTATGGCACTAGGCTCCAACTTGGACAAGCCAGTTCATAAGGCAGATAAAATAAATTATAATTCATCAATGAACTGACACAAGGGACCAGTTTTGATTGAAAATCAAATCCATGGTAATGGTTTTCAAAATATTTATTCTGCTGGTTAAAATTTTCACCACAAAACCCGAACACCACTGTTCTGAAACAGAGCACTAAAAACAGGTGGAGTTTTTTGCACCCTGAACATGGCCATCACAGCCTGTAACAGCGGTTACAGAAATGTCCAGGCTCCCAACTTAGAACACAACCTACATAGTTCAAACACTCACCACTTTAGAAGGAAGTTTCTGAAACAGTTCACTTATGAGGCGTCCTGAGGGGTTTGTGGCAACAGCTACAGCTTCAAGAAGCTGTTCCAGAATTTCCTTCAGGTAACCTGGAGATGACTAATGTAGGAAACAAAAATCATGAGAAGTTTTAATAGCAGCCAGAGTGGAGTGCTTCAAGTTGTGCTGAAATACAGGAATTTACACTTCAAAGGCAGAAAAAACCAGCTACAAAATACGGATGCAACTTCTGAAGACAACATTGTTTATGTAGATAAAGGTACACTAGAAAACTCTGACTTCAGCTTTTCACTGCAGACTGTCAGACACACATTCCAGTTACTGAAAATGTGCATCCCAACATCACAAAAACCAGGCTAGCCCAAATTTCCTCTTGTAGCACTCCAGGAACAGCTGCACTGACTGAATGGGGCACTTGCTGATAACTGATGTCATTAGACATGAATCTTGCTTGCAACAAACCTCCATGTTGGCATAAATTCAAGCACACTCCGTATTATTCCAACTAAACCATAACCATGCTTTACCCATACCAGAAACCCTCACAGCTTTTTATTGCTAGGCAAAAGTGAAACACCCATACAATGCTGTGAAGTGATTAACCAATAAACTTGCATAAGAAATACCCTTTAGGGCATAATTTAACAATGAAAATATTACTCAATGATTTTTCACCCTCTCAGTCAGCTGACATCCACAGGTGCAGCCTCCCCCTTCTGCAGCTGTCATGCCCACACTTACTAATTCAGAATTTGCTTGATTGTCATGTCCTTCGTCATCATCATCATCCTCCTCAGCATCACCTTTCTGAACAAATTCATTTTTTGTGCGCAAATACAGCTCCCACAGTTTGCAGGCAGCTTTGTATTCAGGAGAATCTGGCTGCAAAAACAAATCAAACACTCCAGTCAAAATTCAGGGCATTCTCATGTGGGGGAAATTTCTAAGTTATTAGCTGAAAGGTATTAAATACATTAAATAAGTAATAGAAAATTTGGGAAATTCCTGCTTCACTTGTTCTTTGACAGAGGAGTTAAGAATCACAATAAGCATTAGAAAATATAACCTGTATCACTCAAAAGCATCCAAGTCTTTCAGAAAACTTAGCAATAAAATTAACTGGGTTGAGGCTTGGACAAGCCAATTAGATGAATCTGGAGAAATCACTGTGTTTTGTTGAAGTACAACACCAGCATTTAAAACAGACTAAATTTCAGTATGCCAGAAATTCTATTTAAGCCAATACTGATGTCATTGTGTGGCACTTGAAAATTAACTTCTACAGAAGAATACCAATCAATATATTTGAAGGCATTGCAATGGTTTGCATTCAGCATTAACTGGGAAATGCCAAAGAACCTGACGACACACTATCACCTGGGGACACTTCTAGATACATCTTTTAGAAGAGTTAGAAACATTAGTTAGAAAATTAACTTTTAAAAATACAGAGCTGGTCGTGGCAGACAAGCACATGCCTATTAAGACTACCCAGAACAAAGACAGCTTTTTCACCCATGTATTTTTCCTTCCCTTTCCTCTGTCATTTCAGCTCTATTTCAGGTACTCCTGCAGATAATGTCACCTTATTGCTGCTGATTGCACTCTTCTTACTTCACTCTCTCAACCTCTGACAGCTTGTAATACAAATGAGAAACCATCATGAGAACTGTTCTTAATCTTGCCTTATTAGGCTTAAATATTTTCAGCACATTAGACCAGGTGCTGCTTATGAAGAGCAGATTTTTTAAGGATATTTTGCTCCACAAATCTACTTCATTCTGTATAAATGCAAGACGCTCAGGAGTGAGAGACTTGACCAAAAATACAAAAAAACCCAAAGGCTGCTGTTCTGCTGGAGCACTGCCAATGAAACACTTGCTGGAATAAAGACCTTGACAATCAATCACTGTCCCTGGCTTGTCCATGCCATGGAGCTGGTTGGGGAGAGGCAAAAGGTGAAAAGAAGAGGGTTAAGTTTGTGTGCCACACCTCCAGCTCACAGTTCCACAATTCTCTGGAAATGCCAACATGCATTCATCCTGGAATAATGGATACCTATTTTTAGTCTAATGCAAAATCTCTATGACACAGTTAAATTTTGAGCCCACAATTCTACAGGCAAAAGCAGCACATATTCTGTAAAACCCCAATCATTCTTTCCTGCCATCAAGTCCTTCTCCCTCATGTAAAATCCATTAATGTTGGGGTTTTCATGCTGAGTGCCTTGCAAAGCTCCAGGAGTACAGAATGAATTTGGAAATTTTTGTACTTTTCCTCCTGGAAGCAGAATGTGCAAATGCATTAACCCATAAATCTGATTGTTTCCAAGAAGCTACTACACACAAGTAAAACAAACACTGCCTTTCTGGATGTCACCAGGCTACCCCAGAAAGCACTCATTTTGATCATCTCCAAAGTCAAAGATATGTGAAAGGCAATATTAGCAGGTTTAGATTTACTGTATCATCTCATTCATCACATACAATTTCATTGGTTTATGGATTTAACATAGCCTTTCCAGTTTTTTCCCCACTTCCTTATGAAAACTGCAATAACACCCATTAATATCTGTAATAAAATACACACACAGTTTGGAGGAATTGCCATGGGGGTTGTCTTGATGATATTACATTCACATCTATCATTACTGACCATGACATGTGCCTTATTTTTCATTTTATTAAGTGGCAAATGGAAGAGAAAGATTCAACACTCCCACTATAAGGCTGCTGTTAGCATAAACATTTCCTTCTGGGAGGAAAAAAAAAATAAATCTTTCTCCATTTCAAAGGGTTACACAGAGGATATTGTAAAATGAGAAGGCTTTGACAGAGGAATATTTTTCTCAGTTTATATCTCCATTTTTGCTTTTGATCTCTTCTGGAAAACTACATGAAGATCATCCCCACATTATTTTACAATTTTCCACAGAAAAAATTGCTATAGTAGGACATCTTAGAAATATACAGTCAACATTATGGAAATATATGCAAATAACTGCAATGTGTGCTGTTCTCTTACCAATAATACTTCAGGCTAAACTGAAGAGGTTTTGGCCTAACCAAGGCAAAATCTGAGCATCTCTACTCCTTTTACAATGGATTTGAGCCTTTACATGTTGTTTTCTCACCTTATAGTAAGCCTTTGCATTGTTAAAGAGAAGCTGGAAATCAGCAGTCAGCACATTCACATCATCATATTCCTCCATCTTCAGTTTTTGCTGGATTTTCATTAAATCAATTGGCTGAGAAACCACTTCATAATAATCTGGCTGATTTCTGTTGCAATGACAAAAACAGGCATCATATTCCAAGCAGTAAAACACAAACCACAGCACTAAAACTGACGCATGTTTATGAGTAAATAAACCAAAGAAAGTTCCAATATAATTTTATTACTGCTAAAAGGACAGTGCTCTATCAGTCAGCTCACTTCATGCATGTTCTGTTACTGTCCTCAGTTTTCTGAGTTTAAGAAAAATATCAGCCTCTTACTTAGCTACTGCATTTTCAAGGGTCGCTTCTATTAACCTTCCCAAGCTGTGTCCTTAGGATTACATCCCACCACTAACACAGAAGATCTTACAATCAAAGGCATAGATGTTTTAGGCAGATGTCACAAGAAACATTTTAAATTAATTCAACGTATCCTTTATTTTTCCCTGAAAAAGAGCACCAATGTAAGGATGTCCCATTGAATAATTACATCAAACACTTGAATCAAACATTGATGTGAAACAACAACAAATGTAGCTTAGATTTTTCACAGATTTTTGCTGAAGTATTTATCAATTTCCACTTCTCTCTGATTAAAACTCAGGTTCAAGGTTTAACCAGACCTATGGCCTTACCTTCTCTTGGGTGCCCTGATGAAGAGCTCACAAAGGAGCCTGCCCTGCTCATCTTTGTAGTCTCTGATGGTGTTGTAGAGCTCATGGCAGACAGCAATCTGAAAGGCAAGAACAATGAAATAAGGAAAAGGGAGAGAATTTGAAGGAGGCAACAAACAAAAGCCTGTTTACAAAGGGAAAGACAAGCTGCCAATCCACAGCATGCCCCAAAGCAGAAGTCAGACACAACTGGACAATCTCATGCTTTAGCAGGATACCTGACAAGTGTGCCAGGTACTTCAGGATTTCCATTTATTTTTTGAACACAGGGAGCTTTATTTCAATGCTAATTCTAAGTAAAACACCCAAAATGTAAATTAATTCAGTGCAATTCTCTCCAAGTTACAGGCATCTACAATAACAACAGGGGTTCTTCTGCCCTGCAGTTAATTAACATTAGACTGCTCATGCAGAGGCATAGCAGAGGCATTGTACACTTCAGCAATCACTGCCTGTGCCATTCCCCACTCATCCCTCTGCATTTGCTATGCAGACACAGCTCTCAACTTCTGCACATTATGATTTCAGCTCTTTCTCCAACATCCTTCCTTCTGTTAAAATCATCAGCAAAAAGAGAAAAGCAGCATAGCAAAGAAAAAAGATGAAAGTGGTGAGCCAGGACCAAGCCAAAGCCAAAGCTGAAGGAGGTCCTAAACAAAGCTCAGCCAAGGCAAGAACAGATTCAGGAGCAGGATACATGTGCTAAATATGGTCATTAACTTTACAGTTCAGCATATTCCAGACAGGAACACAGTATCCCCAAGAAAAATGGTGCAATCAGTAAGAAGGTACTAACAGGATCTACAGTTGGGAGATTGGAAAGTCTTCTCCTCTTCCTGCTTGGGCCTGGTATATTGGTGGAGTGATGGGCATCATCGAAGTCTCCACCGCTGACGCTGCTGGAAGGAGAGGTAGCTCTTCGCCTCTTGGAACCCATGGAATCCAACTTCTTCTATAATGAACAGAAACATTCTTAAAGCCCTGGCATTGCATCCAAACCCTCTGCTGAGAGCTACCTACAGAGCTAGCAAAGCTTCAGATGATATATTTGCCAAATGCTACAGGCCAGTTAAGTCATTTCTGTAAACTCCAACTTTGTGGAAATTCCCAAGAGTGAAGGGAAATCAAAATGCTCTTACAGTTTTATAGTTACCAATGACAGCAAGGCCAGAAACCCTCAAGCTCACACTGATGGAGCTGAATTTAGCAGATCTTCACAGAATACATTCTTAAACTCTCCACATTTTCATACCCCATCCCATGCAAGACAACTAAACAAAAAACCACTATTTTTAACAAAAAAGCTGTACAGAGACACATGCTCAGTTCTGGTGTAAAAACACTTCATTCCATGTCAAACTAAAAAAAAACATGGAAAACAAACCAACGAATCAAAAAACCAACCAACCAAAACAAATTACAAATGAAAAGGGCCACAGAATACCTTGTGTTGTGTTCAAGTGAAAAAATGTCAGGATCACCGTGGGACCTCCCACTCCCACTTTATGGGTGGGATGAATGGCTCAACCATGGAGAAGCAGAAAAAGCCCCCTCCTCTTTTGGCCATAGTTTTGCATTTACCGACACAAGCAGTGACAAATGAATAACCACCCTCCAACAACTATGGTAATTTATGGAACAAGTTGCTGGCTCTTTTCCAACTTCCAGTGACAGCCTCAGAAAAGTATCTTTATTTGTGGCTATCTCAAAGGCTGAGGACAGAACAGATGCGTCTATCCCAGCCTATCCCCATTTTCTAACCAAATCCAGAAATTTCTTTTAGGAGGCACTCAGATGATTGACAAGGTGTGGCAGCACAACATAACCACACTAAAGCATTTTAGAGATGAGATAACTTCAGGCACACACATGAGATGAATAAGGCAGGAATAATTAACAGTTAGGAAAAAGAAAAGCAAAAGGCTATGGCAGAGGGATGGAGATACAATCGATAATTTACCAGATTTACCAGAGTAGAACCAGCACCTCGAAAAGCCAATCTCCTCATAGTGTCTGATGGGCAAGCACAGATACTGTGAGAAGGGGACACTCTAAGAGTGGCAAACCAGTAATGGTGTTAGTACAGCCACAACTGGAAGACAAGAAAAAGGAAAGAGAGAGGGAAGGAAATTCAGAGTAGGTAGATAAAGAATAAAATCAAAGAATAAAGTGGATAATTACAGTGACAGAGAAAAAAAGCAAGAAACAGAAGGCAACTTTTTTTAGCCCAGCAGAAACTCTACCAAGTAATTTTGTACACAGAATGCTAGACACTTCTGTCATTGTCACAGTAAAAATACATTTCTCTAACGTTCCTGAATATGCATTACAGATTTCACAGCCACTTGCTAGAGAATGATTCATCAAGCAGAACAGAGTGTAAACAGAAGTGATACCTGACCTGAGAGTACAAACCAGAAAGCTGTAAAAGTTACAGAATGCGAAGCAGTACAGTGCTTATAACAACATAATCTTAAGGTCAACAAACAATAAACTCTAAGATGATGCACCTCCATCACTCTTCAGAGTCGATTTTTATACTCAGATGTAAGCATTAGGTATGCAGCTATACACTAAAAATACACTGTTTCAATTTCTAAGCAGCCTCCAAGTCTGATTTTTTCCCCAGAAATTCCATGTGAAATATACAGAACAATTTTATGGCAAAATGTTTGCTTCTATGTAGTTCTTCCCACTCCTGCTTTCCTTCAATCAAACCCCAGAGAGATTCTTTTCCTGTTCAGCACTCTGGACGTTTCCATAACACGGACATGCAGAGAAGCTCTCTGGTTTATCAGCAGGCAATTCATTTTGGGAACTGACAACAGCCTCATGCTTTGGCACTGCTTCCAACTTTCATCTGAGGGCTACAGTCTGGAGAGACTCCACCAGACACGTGCTGGGAAACATGTTCCTTGGTTGTGGAAGAAAGGCAGGAGGGACCAGAATCAATAATTTTGCTTCAACCAGGAACCCAAGAGTACACTCAGTCCAGTCCTATCCTAAAATAAAGACTTGGGAACCTCCCAACCAGCACCTGCGTGCAAACTGCACATCAGCTGTTCCATGTCCACTGTCTGAGGCACAATGCTGTGGCTCTCAGCCACACTCTGACACTGCTGTGATCAAGATACCCTCACCACTCATACACAACCTCCAAAACACATTTTTCTCCTCTAATAACCAAGCAAAACATGTATCAGACTAGACAAAATCACAAACTCTCAGTGAGAGACCTGCTGATATAACACTCTCACTGAAGGTGAGGCTCCAAAACACAAACTTCTCCCTGGACTGCCACACTCCTAAGCACAGAGAACTCAGTTGTGCACAGAAACACACAGTTTTACTGAAGAACCTCTCTCCCAGAGTTTCTTCAGCAATTGCACTGCTGGCTCACAAGTCTCTCAAGTCACACCAACAATCTCCACCGCTAGCAATGAGCCACCTCCAGTGCAACAGGAGCTTGAGCATTTCCTTGGTAATTGCCCTCACCAGCCATAAAAATGTCACTAAAACACAGCAAGAAATGCTTTGGCCATTACTAATTCACATGTACACTGATATACGCAACGGGTGAAAGGCTGTCTACCAAAAGCTGTAAACAAGGACCACAGGTGTCACCCACTCCAATCTCCCTACACGAACAGGTTTTACTCACATCGGACATAATACACTCAAAATAAAACAATGCATTCTCTCACACGGCTCGTTTTCTGCCTGCAGGCAGAGGAGAGCTAAAAGCCAATAGATACCACGGGTAGTACTTATTGCTATCAGGATCTCCCACGTTTCACCAGAAACACGAAACACGGTAAATTTAGCAAAGGGAACAAGGGAAGGAAACGCAGCCAGAATTTCCCCCGGTTACCAATCCCACTGAAACCTACTACGGGATGGGAAGAGGGGGCTGGCAGAAACCAGGCACTGTAAAAGGGCATAGCTGCCAAAAAAAGCGAGAGGGACAACACATCCATCGTTTTAACAATACCGGGACAAGAAGCAAAGATACCAAATATATAATTTCCCCGAAGCGCCGGAGCCCCTGCCCGGGAGCTGAGCTGTTATCTCCAGCAGGAGACAAAGAAAAGCCCTTTCCCGGCACCGGCCGACAGGACCGTGTCCCGGGCCCGGCCCGCGGTGCCGCCACAGCGGGCAGGACCCGCT